CTTGCTGTTATCGAGCCTGAAGGTATTGAAGGTTTTGAGCTTGGAGGTATATTGAGTTTGGAGGTACTGTAGTAGCGAAATTGAATCTAGTCCACGGAATTAGCATTCGAGCATACCTAATGATAATTTAAAAAAAAAACGCTAGCTTCTTACCTAAATAGTTTATTTGAAGTTCGTAGTGGGCGTCTATCCTAATAGAGAGTATTGTTCCATGTTTTATACAGTTTCTACTCGAATCATGTTTGAGTAGACGTCACGGTATCTAAAATTATGGTTACATGTATTTATGTAGGGTTTAGGCAACCACCGCGGGGTAACGTTCGTTGTGTAACGCACAATCACATGTATGTATTTTACTCCCGCTGTTGAAGTAGAATTCATTCAAAGTACCAATGATGCTTGTAGTTTTATTGGTCACATATAATCTAAAATACACAGCCGGTAGCGAAAGTGTTCATAAACCGATATGGAGTTTTCGTCATCGTCTCAAAACAGATGCTAGAAAATAAAGTTGGCTTCTAACTGTTGCTGAATACTAGACCCAATCGGGTCTGGTGCTATAACAAGATAGGTATCAATGAGAGATATCAAGCTGGCTCTCCGGCCAACCAGTTAACAAAGTCCATACGTAAACCCTCGTGTTTGGTATACTCTTGAGGCTCAAAGTAGGATTTGTTTTCAGGCAGGCCACTCTTAACTTATTTGACTCTGCACATTATTATGAGGGATTAGAAATTTCCACGGCTGTCGAAGTTAGGCATCCATACCGCAGAATCTCAGGAATAACGAATCGAACTGGGCTGGAATACCACTTACCCATTGGTCAAGACGACCAAAAGTTACGCTTTAGGTCTGTCGGATTGAGGCTCAACAAGCATTTGACCAATCCGAAGCACAATATTCCAGTCCAGTTCGATTCGTTATTCCTGAGATTTTGCGGTACTTCCAAGCCTTTCTTGATATCAACGTACGTACTATAGTAGTGATTCAAGAATCTTAAGAGGAGTTCCAGAATGTTTCCTTCTTCACTGAGAGTAATAGGTACATGGGCAGACAACTTATCGCATGGGTGTTACGCACAAGAATATGCGGCAATACTACCCCACACACACGTGTTAGCTAATGGTAATGGAAACGGATTTTTTTAATTGAAGAACAGCTGGAGTTTTCTGTTAGTTCCCGCAATCCCAATAGTAATATCGTGATAATTGATAGTTACAGTACTACTACAAAACCCAGGAAGAACGGATCGAACTGGACTAGGAATATTGGCCCTATCGAGCCTCAATCCCACAGACCCGAAGTAGGTGTAGTACTCCAGCCCAGTCCGATTCGTTATTCATAAGCACCGGGGAAAAAAAATGGAGAGTCTAGATGCGTATTTGCTTTTCTCGCAACTACGTACAGCCAGCTTGAACCAATTACATACACGACAGCTATTCTATCTAGGACTGCACAAGAAAAACGGCTTATTGCTTATAGGTCAACCACTCGGATGGGTATGTCTCCCATCGAAGCTTCCGAACTATCCAGCTATTCAGAGAATCTATTCCAGAAACCAGCCAGAAATTTCATATACGTCCGATTCTCAGCAGACTCTTTAATCCTCTGTTTATACCCATCCATAAGCGATACAGATGGTCCTGACGTTTGTCTTTCCGTGCCAGCAAAACCTACCCAGAACAGCGTGCAGTGCATGTTTGGTGTCTTGGCATCGAGAAGACGTTGTTTTGTAGAGGTTGAAAGATCAGTTCATATGATCATGTTGATTACCGCGCTGCACTCGGTTCTGGAGAGACACGCCTTGAGGCAGACAGAACCATATCTGCGGGTAGAGCTTGCAGGTATGACTCGGTTTTGTACGTCCAATTGTGGTAATATCAAGAAGCTACGCATATGTAAACGACATAAAGATTATGTGCTTTTTGATTAGATGGCACTAAGCTGTATTGAACGAGCGCACGTGATCTGGGATAAGTGCAGCTTCTCCTGATCATGTGAAATCACTCGAAACACCTGTATGGTGCGCCTAGTCTTAAAGGTAACCGAAAATGACGGAAAGTCGATGGTTAATAACTTTTTGACGAAAAAGGTTAAAGAAAATCCGTACAATGGAAATGTAGTACTAGCTATGAAGTTTAGTTCCATTGTACAAATTTTTGGTATCTGTTCTAGTTGTACCAGAGCTCGAAACCCGGCATCCCATATGTAAAAAGCACCAAGATCGAACAGAGTAGAACAGTATTATACCCATTTACAGCGACCGGAATGATCTATGGAAAAACAAGGGGGTGAAATTGTATGGCGAAATATCTGTGCACCATATAACTGTTTTTTTCCATAGATCATTCCTATCGCTGTATACCCAAAAAAAAGCAAACCTGCCTGAGCTATGGCAGTGAGGTACCAGCTGGCTAGAAAATGGGCCCTCTTATTGGCCTTCGGAGTCAAATTGCAGCCACGATTGTTCCACTTCCATATGTGGCGTGTCACCTTTAAGACTGGGCGCACCATACATGTAGTCAACAACTACATCATGTAGCTGTGTAACCATCCCCTAGGCTAATATTTGAATAGCCTCAGTGTTATCATTAACTGGATCGATTTCGATCGAAAGTACTCGCGCGGCCGAGTTTCGACTTACTCACGTGACGCTATTTAACAAGTTTTTTGCGTTACCCATAGGTCATGTGATTAAGTTGAAACTCGGCCGCGCGAGTAATTATAATAATGTCTAATAAATTCCTATAAACCTTGTTAGAAATACATATACATAAACTCACTTATCCCCAAAAGAAGCACCTGTGGTAGCACATCACAGTTTCTTAATCGGTGTGACTACATATATCTACTAGTAGCTGGTCACGTGAGATACCGATATTTCTGGGATATACGCCCATGGGCTTAAAGCAAAGTGGTGGGAGGAAAACTGATGGTGTATGCATATTCCCGTGACTTAAGCCAATCAGCAAGCACTTTTCTACCAGTACTTTGCTTTAAGCCCATGGGCGTATATCCCAGAAATATCGGTACATGTATGTTATTCAGCATCGTTACTTGCGCGAATCAAAAAGATTCGTCGAAATCACCGACGGCTAATGACTAGTACCAGTAGAGCTGTATATCGTGCACGTATAGCTTCGTGCCGCGTATTGATATCAAGCCTACTATATATACTAAACTTCATTACTATCAATCAGACCACTACCAGGAGGACCATGCCTGATGTTCCTTCACCGAGTGCGTAGGTACACGTATTAACTACCTAACCGCATCTAAAAGCCGTGTGTATTCTTGGCAGCAATCTTTGTTTTAATACCAATCACTCAAATTGTGCTGCACCAATATTTGATCGTAATCACCCGGTTTCGGACTATGTACGGTACAGCGGTGGGTAATAAGTCATCGGACGACCTAGCCACAATTTTGCCTGCAAACGCGTATTTTGGTGGCGTTCCGTCTGATGACTTATTACCCACCACTGTAAATGTACTATGTAGGTACATAAACTGCACTAGACTATGCCATAGTCTAAGACTGCATGCAGAGTTTTGTACCTAGAATCAATAAAAACACATGATTTTTTTAAAAAAAAAAAACTGCACTAGACAAGCAAAGCATCGATATCTACGGCCAATGATCCCCGCGGATATTAACCTGGCCCCGCCTACAATGTTGAAGACAACTATAGGGCTGAAGCTGTTACTATTTTAATCTGCTCTTCAGTAGAGTAGAGAAATCTCTCACTGGTGGATCAGGCAGAAAATACATGTATCAGCGGCCGCGGTGCAAAACCATCGCCTATTCCCGCCCAAACCAAACCTGGCGCCAGAGAATTATCTAATTTCCCACAGAGCTTCCACGGCATCGGAATTCCTAATCCCAATATCCCAACCGACCGTATTACGTACATGCTCAAATCAGCGCCACATAATTTAATCATCAATCATCACTCGCTCCAAACAACCGGCTATGTGATCGGCCACAGTCCGTTCATCGCCCACTAAGGCGTCCCCTTATAGAAGCCCCAACTCCAGACTATCAAAAACCCAAGTAACAATACAATACGCGTAATAGAGTAGCGACCCGGCCCCTTCCCCAGTAACCACGATGATCACGATCGACCAAAGCTCGGTCTTGGCGCCCGTAGCACTTGACTAATTACATCTCGTATCGTCATTGCGCCTTACAAGTGGGCAGTGTCGAACTATTGAGGGCTTTTCCCCACAAAGTGCGAAAACAAGACACTCCAATTGCACGTGCTGCTGTATGTATGGTTACTGCACTCAGCCAAGGGCAAAAAGAAATTTGCAGGCTAGGGCTGAAGAGCTAGCTAGACAGAGAGTGCCTATTGTGTATGTATCAATTATTCTGGATGGTAAGTATATATAGAATAGAATACTCGTAGATTCATGACGTTTCCGAACACGACTGCTATTGCATGCCATACAAAAAAGCGCTAAATCTACCTTTTTGTATGTCATGCAATATTGGTCGTGTTCGGAAACGTCATGAACCTACGAGTACATGTATCGCTCTGATTAGATAACCAATTAATTCAACCGACTGAACCCCAACTTGCGGTGATTATAGATGGCTCCAAGGCTGAATGCAGTCTGAAGCCAAGATGAATAGTCATCAATCGTTAACGTCAGTAGTAGGTAAGTAATCCAAATGTAATTGGTCGGAGGCCTATGACTGTTACATGGTTTCTGCAAGGCAAACGGCAGATCTAGATATCAAACTTCTCGAATACGAGCCGGCGCACTCAAGGCCGTATTCCCATAACCCACCAAGCACGGAAATGAGATGAGCCGGAATAGCATTAGAAAATATAAATATTCCTATTTCACCCCCAGGAGTAATTAGTAGTTTTAATCGGTACGGTTACAACAGTAGATCCAGCTACGGTATTAGTATCAAACATATATTCGATCAAGAATAGCTCGATTTTCGAATCTTCCAAAAACACATTGCACAGAGCCTTCAAACCGCTCAACATGGCCTTGAAACCCCTTCTCCTCCTCCTCTCTCTCTACTCCACTCTCATATCCTGCGCTCCAACATCCGAGCTTCCAATCATTGACCTTGGCTACGTCCAACAACGAGCCACCGTCTACAACTCCACCAACGACTACTATATCTTCAAGAACGTCCGCTTTGCCGCCCCGCCTTTTGGTGATCTCCGTTTCCGCAAACCCACCCCACCAGACTACGAGGGGAAAATCCAGGATGGCAACATTACTGGGACAGAGTGTGTGCAGACCCTTCCGGGAATGGCCGTAGAAGCTGGTGAAGGTATATTAAGTGGGGAAACTTATACAATTGGAACTGAAGACTGTTTGTATCTGGACGTGTATGTACCTGCTTCGCTCAAAGCGACGGATAAAGCGCCAGTGCTTCAGTGGTTCTTTGGGGGTGGGTATATGTTCGGTAGTAAGGAAATGTGGGGTGATCCAGCAGAGTTGATTAAATCCGCGGATGAGCCAATGATTTATGTTGCGTCGAACTATAGGTGAGTGTACCCCCTTTCTAGACGTTATAAAAGCTAATTATTATAGGCTTGGCGCTTTTGGGTGGCTTGCGGATGCAAACCAGGATATTGACGTTAATGTTGGGCTCCATGATGTCCGCGCAGCTATGGACTGGGTCAACGATCATATCTCCAAATTTGGCGGTGACCCAGAGAGAGTCACTGTAATCGGGGAGAGTGCGGGCGGTGGAGTAATTATGCACACGATCGTTGCGTACGGTGGCGAACATTCACCGCCGCCGTTTAAACAGGTACGCCCTATTATCCATACTGTTGTCCTCCCAAGTATTCGGAAGGAAAAAAACCTGGGGTTGAAAGTAGCTGATCCGAAGATAAAAGGCAATTCTGCAATCTCCAGGTCTGCTAGCAGATAGGAACTCTTTCGAGAGACGAAGCAGTGGCTACCAGAATTTCCAGAATTCTGCCAACTGCACTAGCCTTGAATGCCTGAGAGCGGCGTCCACTGAGACTCTGACCGTAGCCAATGATGCGGTCCTCAAATCTGGTCTTATGGTACCCACACCCGTAGCAGATGGGGATTATATCCCAGACCTAGCTACCATTTTGTTGTCCGAAGGAAAATTCCACCACATTGATAGTATCATTGCGTCGAATACATGGTATGAGGTCAGTCAACTACTCAACTCTTTGTAATTTTAGTTTAAAATACTGACAAGTGGCTACAGGCCGGCCTGTTCATACTAACAATTGGCAATGTAACTTCCGAAACCTTTAGAGACTTCGCTCAAGGCAACATCGCGAATATCTCGGCGTCCTCTCTTGCCAGACTCGAGGAGCTCTATCCAAAAGGCAGTAACGAAGCCGAGGAATACAAAAGAGTTGCAGACCTAATGCAAGATGTCTTCATTAATTGCAATGTCGTCGCCTTGGCGAAGGCCTTCGGTGATGATACGTACCGCTATATCTTCAATGTATCCCGAGCCTGGCACGGAGATGATGTGCTTTATAACTTTTACAACCCAGGCATTGATGTTCCCGGAGCACCGCCAGTCAGCGTGTGGGCTGCTAAGGCGCATCAGGAGTACTTGACTGACTACACAGTAAAGGGAGACCCTGGTTGTGCGGACACACCTTCTTGTTTTACGAAGTATGGTACAGAGGAGACTTCGTTGATGATCACTGATGAGAATGTTGAAATTTTATCGGCCGACCCATGGAATAACGAGAGAGTTGACTTTTTGATTAACGGTGTGTGGGAGAATTGAGGGTATGATGTCTTATTCAGTGCTTCCTTCCTTTATTTTTTTTTCCTGCCTGTCCTTTTTTGGAGTCTAGTCATCAACTGTCTCTTATTTTAATTTCTTTGGTTCATGTTATTCATATTACGGGTTGCGATGAATTCAAATATACTGTCATTTACGTCATTTTTGACCCGCCCAGACATAATCTAGCTAGGAAGCTACCAAAGTCTCAGATAGAATTGATCTTGTTGAGTGATAACTGTATGCATATGCTGCAGTCCATTCATAAACGCCTATTTTATATACGAACAGATATATCTGTATATCCAGAGTGGTTCGATACTCTTTAGCTTTAGCGGATGAAATTATATATGCACAAACCGTCAGCTATATATGCATATATATATGATGGTAGTAATTAATTGTGGGGGCGGCGATGAACGAACGAATAAGTGCATCAAACTCCTGGGCTATCTAGATCTGTTCATAGATAGAAGGCAATCAATCCCTAAATGTCTTCGGGGGGAGTGCTTAATTGGCCATACACTGTGCGAATCGAGGTTTAATGAGTTACATGGTTGTGGTTGGGAACGTCGTGCAAAGAAATGTCGGCTCCCATACAGCACGCATTAATTAACGTCATCAACATCTCGCGCTCAAATCTCCCCGCCATCTCTTAACCCTCTTTAGCTTTATTCCTACCCCGTCGCTTAATTCTCTCCATCTATATTGAATTCGATAGACATTATCTCAATGTCCTCTAGTTGATCCCTGGGCCAATGGGGGTACATAAATCCTCTAATCGAATCGCGCTCTTTTGATTATATTAATTACTACATGCAGTTGTGTAGTCTTCAAGATCTAGGTTGCACCTGCTGCTCCAATACATGTACCCTTGTCTGTGGTTACAATACCCCAAGGCCAAACACAAGTTACACTAAGATACATGTAGTATGAGGATCGGATTCGTCAGTGATAGAGTACAGACAGCGGCATCTGTAGAGTACCGGTCACAGCGTCATGCAATCGGTCAATATTTACCTCAACTGCTGTGCACGTGTGATACACGTAGCCATGCACGAATTAACAACCAGCAAAGTCTAGCTCGTTGTTGTCGGTACATAGGGCAGCAGGGCACCCCCCTACGTTACACGTAACCAGTACCCACGCCCTTCCATGGATCGATGGGATGTGTGAATTTCCTCTCTCTTCTTGATTCTTGCAGGTCTGCAGGATCTGGGATTGTTTCCCTTCTGCTTCTGGTGCAGGGCGACCAGGGATGGTTGTCACATGTAGTTAGTGTCACGACTCACAGCTTATCACTCACCGCATGATTACCCGCTCGATGGGTAACAGACAGGCCCACCCATCCTACAACCCTACCCTAGCTACCCTGCCTGTCAAACCGGATAATCTCGAGATGCGCGTTAAGAGATGTGAACCCGCGATTTGAATCACGACCAGCAATAACGTTTCCGGAGAACCCCGGGCAACGCAGACCATACGTCGTGACAATACGCACTTCTGCCGCCGCCGGGAGCACGGAAACCACCAATGCGTTGATCAAAGCAGAAACAAAAAAAATAAAAATAATGGAATATATAAAAATAAAACATAGAGATGGCAGCAGACACGGGATCGGATACCTACCCACTCCACTCCACTCCACTCCCACTGTATGCACCCCATCACTCCACTTGATGCGAGAAAGCTCGGTAGAAGCTGCCACTGCCGCATCGCGTGCCGACATGGAGCTACCCCACGTAGAGTACTCCCCATTCCGTTTACCTAAACGCGCGCATGAAAAAAAAGTACCCATACGTACGTAGTTTCAAGAACTCATATCGCGGTTGCAGGGTCGTCGTCGTTGAGATTAACGAATCAGCGGCACAGAAAAGAGCCGCTCCCAGAGGTTGGATTAAAGTTTCACTGAACCAGACCCTCGGAATTCCGCCCAAAAAAAAGCCCCCGCAAGCCACCACCACAACCAAGAGACGTGACCCCCCCCCCCCCCCAACTGCAACATGGCCCGAATTGTACGATTCTGCTGCTGCTGACCCCATCCTCCGCATCGCATTCACCATCAAAGACAAAAAAAAGTAATATCATTATCATTATCACCATTAATGTTGTTGCTACTGCTGGCAAGGAGGTATGGACGCATCAACCATCATCCCGTGCAAAGGATCGACATAACGCGAATAATGCCATACATACACAACGCCAAGACACGCACCTTGTTGTCAAATCACGAGACTGTTGCCCTGAACGTCTAATCAAACAAAAGCTCACCAGCTTACTTGCCCTTTTTCCACCTATCCAACAACACCTTGACATACCACTCTCATCAGCATTTATGCCGTCCAAACGTACCCGAATCGCAGAAACCGTATCCGAAGAGCCGTTGCCAAAACGAGCTCTCAGATCACAAGGCAGGCCACCTTTCGACTCGAAAAAGGAAAAGAAGGTAAACACCACAGCAACGAAAAATGCGCCCAAAAAGGGGCCGCAGCCGGAAACGAAAGGAAATACCTCCCAACGCGAAACAGAAGAGGAGTCTGATGGGGGTCCTTCCTATTGGCTTATGAAAGCGGAGCCGGAGACCAGAATGGAAAAGGGCAAAGACATGAAGTTCTCGATCGACGACTTGAAAGCTTGCAAAGGACCTGCAGGCTGGGATGGAGGTAAGCAGAGCTTCTATTGATTCGTCTAGCCCTCGAAAAGACAAAAAATAAAATAAAATAATAAACGGCTGATGATCGCTATTGTTCTAACTCTGTGTCATTCAGTGAGGAACTACAGTGCGAGGAACAACCTGAAGGCAATGAAACAGGGGGATTTGGCGTTCTTCTACCACAGGTTGGTCCCATCTCCACTTCACTGCCACTCCCCCTCCTTCCAATCCCATTCCGCCATTGGATGAAAGCGTGAAAAGGCCATTTAAATCTGACGCGTCGTGAATCATCTCGCGAAAAAAAATACAGCAATTGTAAAGAACCAGGTATCGTTGGAATAATGGAAATCGTCAAAGCCGCCACACCAGACGGTGAGCTCCATTTAGGGAATTTCAGCTCTCGCCACTTTTGAAACTGATCGTTCAGAAACTGCTTTCGACCCCTCCGAGCCATACTACGATCCAAAATCATCAAGGGATAACCCGAAGTGGTTTCTTGTGCACGTGGAGTTCAGGCGAAAACTGGAGCGGCAGATTGGACTTGCCGAGCTGAAGACCTACACCCAAGGTGAGCTGTCAGAGATGCCGCTGCTCAAGATGAGCCGTCTGAGCGTGTCACCTGTCCCGAAAGCTTGCTGGGATTTTATCATTTCCCTGGAGAAATCGCTATGAGGCGAATTGGGGTAGAGACGGGGGGAAATGGGGGATGGGGGGAAGTGTGGGAGGTTCGTGGTCCGCCACTTCTCTTAATTTTTCTTAATTCTGCTAGTCGTACCTAACTTGCCCTTTTTCATATCCCTTGTACTACTGCTACTACAGTTACCCGATTGGTGTTGTGTTCGTAGATAGATAGATAGAGCCGAAATAGAGATTCACTACTAATCAGATAATCAATACTGCACCTAACGCACCTACTCTAACTTGCACCTAACTTGCACAACACAAACCCACGGACCAAATGTGCAATGTGGAACATGGGACGGACATGGAACCTTACTAATTGTACAACTCTAGATCTTCCCAGGAACATGCACATGCGAAGGAAGCAGATCATACGAACGAACGTCCCAATAAGTAAAAGTAACTCAATAGCGCAATAACGCCTTTCAACTCTAAATACTCATATGTTGTACGCGCGTTTCCCCCGTTCCACCCCCAGCCCATTAGCTTTTTATCACGGCTACAAATACAAGTTGGGTTATTACAGGGAGATACCATACGCATGAGGTGATGATGTGATGTGGGGTGGTGATAGTGGTGATAGGTAGTAGGTCATGTTCCAAGAGAAGCTAACAAACGAAACGATTTCCATGATCAAGTCCAATAATAAACACTAAAAAATAAGATATAAGAGAGTAAAAAAGGAACGGATAAGAATAGACGAATAAAGTATTCTAGAAAAACCAACGCCCCTCCCGCAGAAGTAGAAACATGATAATTTACAAAGTTGTCCCCCCGCTAAAAGATTGGATGGAATGAAAGTGGATGATGGTAAAGAAAAAAAAAAAAGGAAAATCGCAAAGTAAAAAAAGATGCATGCAACAGACAAAATAAAACAAATCAACCAAAAAAAACAAAAAAACAAATGAGATGAACGGTAAACAAAATGCAAAAAAAATAAAATAAAATTCCAAGAACGCACGGTTAATGACCCACTTCTAACAAGACTGCAAAGGAAATAAAATCGACAAAGCCTCCCACAAATAACCTCCCCGCGCCGGATAAAATCAGGTACACATAGGAAATAACAAAAGAAATGTGTATAATGCCGTGTCTAGTGATGTCGCTGATCACTACCCCCAGCCCCGTGATGTTCCCGGTCATACATTTCAGTCTCTCGTTTCAATGCACTACCAGCACCGCTGTCCATTGGTTGTCTCATCCTCGGTGTCCCCGGATGTCCTGGATGACCACTCCTGCTACCTTGCCCATGGTCACCGCTCACTTCAATACCAGTCATTGGTGACCCAAAATCCCGCATGCTGGAACTTGGACGCGAAATTTCGCTCGGTCTGAACCCGCCAAATCCGCTGTCACCGGGTCCCATTGCCATTCCAATCCGCGATGGTGACAAGGATTGTGGTTGCCCCTGTTGTGGTCGTCCACCACCCCGTTGCAACCTCAACGCCAGGTCTCGATAGTAGTCCCGTTCCTCCTCTACTTTCTTGACGCGCTGCTCTAAATCGCTGATTCTGGTCGACATTTCACGTTCACGTTCCTTTCTACGTTGACGAAATCTTGCGGAAGCGCCAGCATTTCGTTTACGCTTCTCATCGGCGCTTTTTGACGCCGCCGTTGTGTCTATAGGTATTTGGATGGCCCCATGAGCCGTGTTCAAGGACATCATTGGATACCCGCCATGGGGTCCGTGCGTTGATAGTGATAAGGGGTATGGGTTGTTGATAGGAGTACTTGGGTGGCCAAGCGAATAGCCCGGGTGGTTGAAGGTTGGTGTTGATGGAGGGAGCGGTGATTGGGCAGATTGCACGTAAGTTGAGTAAGACGTATTTGGGCTGGCACTTGCTGAAGACATAGGAGTCGAAAAGCTACTTGGGGCATACTGCATGGAGGTGGGTACGCTAGGGAAAGGGAAAGCGGGAGATTGATGGCCAGATGGCGGTGCTGGCAAATGCGGTGGGGGAGGGGCTGCAGCTGATGAGTGGGCATCCGATGCATACCCTGTAGGTCTTCGGGGAGTCCCTAGAGGAAATGGATTCTCTTGAGCACTAATTATTCCAGATAGACTATGCCGTGTGGAATGTCTGTGTTGTGCTGACGGTGGACCTGGTGCTATTCGGCGAGGAAAACTACTACCCCCTCGGGACGCATCCCCCGAATGGGATAAATCTATAGGAGATGGCGGTAAAGACCGTTGCGTTCCATGATGGATCGTGGGCGTAGATGCCCGTGGAGATCCGAAATGTGCAAGGCTTGTTGCTCTGGAATGTTGAGCTGACCTTTGAGGCGTAGGATTCAAGATGTTGCTAACATCTAAAAGTCGAGAGGGTCGTTGCTCAGGACTAGTGACTGTCGAAGCTATCGAAGGCTCCGAGGCCTGCGATGTATATTGGGAGGTTGGGATAGCCAGGGCTGCTGGTATTGTTCCGTCTGGTGCCTGAGTATTGTAATGGTCCAGTACTCGATAATCCCTATCAGAGTCGTCCGAAGAAGTCGAAGACCTTGAAGTCGAATACGTCCGCGACATGGAGTCTTTCCTCCGGGAACTCGCAAACTGCCTAAAGACAGCACATTGACGGTTTTCCCCTTCCTCCCGACGCCCAACAAGAAAGTCCGGCGACTGTAAGAGAAGAGGGGGATGAACGAAGGGAGCCACCAACGCCAACGTTCCGACTTGTGGGTATTCCGGGTGAATAAGAGTTGACCCGAAGTCTCAGACAGACTTCGTAGTACTCGAACAGTAGGGATTCCGTGTGTGATAAAGACAATCAAGTCCTTGCTCTGTGTGTATCTATACGATGGTTTGACGTCTAGTTCCCTTTTTTTCTTTCAATCCTTATATGAGATTATTATTATTATTTCGTCTGATTCCTTTTGATAAGTCTGTTTCGTTGGGTGATGGATGTGATAATGATAAGTTTTAGGTCAAGCAATTCGTGTTTAACAAATCCCCCTGCTGCAAGGCAAACAATCCTGCATAGTTCGATCCACAGGTGGTGCTCAGGTGTGACGATGAAATGGGAATCCACCAACTCTTAAGACGGGGGTGAGTGGGTAGGTGATGGTGGTGGGTGGGTAGGTGTGGGTGGGCGGGGGAAGAAGAAGAGGGGAGCAATGTGTGGGAGGGATGATAGAGGATGGAAGGGAGGGGAAGGAAGTAAGAAGGAAGTGTGGGCGAGGATGATGAGGGTGTGTGTAAGGACGGGCGAGGGGAAGTGGATGGGCGAGGGTGAGGGTTAAGACTGAGGAGGTGGTAGCGAACTCGAAATGGTGGAGAACATGCAAAGCACTGGCGTCAGAGGCCCATCCAAAAACAAGCTGCACAGGTCACAGATGTGAGATGGCGCGGAAACGGGCCGGGCTGAAGCTAGAAACGTGGACTTGGTTCTTGCTTAGATTGTTGTGGCAGGCAAAGAAGAAGAAGGTAGGGAAGGTAGTAGTAGACCCCGACTCGCGGTGGAATAGATAGACAAAGTATAGAGAGCTACCTAAGTAGGTATTGAACTGAGTACTGTCTGACTGAACGACTGACTCTCCCAGCACAGTCCGACGCCAGGGCGCTAGGACGCGGATGGGGTCTGACGGTTTGCTGGCTGGTGCTGCTGCTGGCTGGCTGGTGCACACCTTCTTCTAACTGGGTGTGCTTCTGCGGGTGCTGGATGGAAGGTATCGAGAAATGGATGTCTGAATGTGGATATGTAGGGTATGTATGTATGAGTTGTATGGGGAATGAGATAGTACCGTCTTTTGTCATTATGGGTAAGGTACCGGGTAGGGGTGTGAATTTAACTAGTACATATGGGATAATATGTATGGAGTGGGTACTTTGTATGCTTGTAGGTATTGAGTATCGGGATTTTGGGTGGTTGGGATGCCACGCAGAGAAAAACTCGGGGCGCCAGCAACTCGCAGGGGCCCCAGATTGAGATATTGGATGGACAACAGTGGACTGAACTGGAACTACAGGATGTGAGCGTCCTACAAGGGCTGTCTGGTACACATGAACATGGTAGTGGTTATGTACTTCTCAAGCTTAGCATACCAAGCAACAGTACAGCCAGTGGTGGAGTACGTTCCAAAGAATAAAAATAAGGAAAGAAAGTTGTGCGACAACAGCTCGAATTGTATACCCTTTCCTTGTGTTCCATCTTCTTTCTCTGCTTCTTATTCTCCCCTTCTCTTCCCTCACTTCCTTCCCTTCCTTCCCCCTCGTTGTGCAGCCCGTCCCCGAATATGGTCCCAGTTTTCTCACACACACACTCACACACACACTCACACTCACACACATATTCACACACACACCATCACACCCCCCCGCACTCACTATTACCTAGTGAGACGTAGGAACAACAGGGAGTTGTGAGAGAGCAAAACCCCCCAGAGTAGTAGAGATATGACCTAGGAACATCATCGTTCTTCTGGCCGCTGTAGGCTAAAAAACAACTTCCAAAATTCGTCAACTGCCGAACTATCACTACGTCGTTGTCTGTGCTTTCCTTTTTTCTCTCCCATTCCCTTGCTAGCCCTTCCCAGCCATGTTCACTCTTTACTGGTTGGAGCTATTAGCGGCAGCCTACATACCCCAATACCACATGCTGCGTTGCGTACCTTCTAGGCAGGCAGACAAGATGTTGGACATAATGAGATAATGGTGTATGATGATGGATACAATCTCTCCGCCTATGGTGCAGCATGATGAAGGGCGTTTGACTAGGCTGGAAATTTGAAATTGAATTGCGTGACCGTGCTGGAAGATCAATATAGTCCCGACGATTGAGTACTCCGGTAAGCAGCGGAGTACAAGAGCCCTGTGGGCGAATTATGGCGTCTCCCAGGGTACAGGGGGGAATCTAATCCAACAGAATGAAGGAAATATATAGGGTAAGCGAACGGTGCACAACCGCCAACCAAAGTTTAGGAAGCTTGGGAAAAACGAAAGTGAGCCCACCCGAAAAATTAACCCAAGAAACGCCCACAAAAACAAAAGTTGTGAAACTCGACCAAACAGAGATGCCCCTTCACACAGACCATCGGCCTAAGGAACGCCAAATTGACTCGTGTGGCCGAGGGTCCAGGATCCCGGGCACTAAGATGAAGCGAAAGCAGCCGCAGGCACCATCCCGCTATACATCCCGGGTCAAAAGCCAGTATCGTGGGATGCGGCGGTGTAGTACTGGTGCACCACTAACATAACCACGCCCTACCCCCCATGCAATTGATGCTAACCATGCCAATAGGGTGGTGGGGGCTAGGGCCGTATATGGTTCTTTTTACGGGCTAATGAAATTTGCAAGAAAATAATACCGGGAAATAATTACATTCGGGAGATTTGAAGGGGCGAACCAACTGGCATCCTGCCTGGTTATATTTTTTTATGTTATTTTGTTTTGCTTTGTTTTTGTTTCCCTTCCCTCCAAAGTTTAGATGAGATGCTGGAGATTATATTAAGATAACATGAGCAGCGATGGTAAGTAGATGACGATGATGGTGTGTGATGGGTACATGTAGTACTCTAGTGGTTGCAGTGGTGAGTAGAGTAGTGCATGCACTTAGGGTACTGGTACTGGCGTTGTATTGTATTTTGTTATTTTATTGCTGCCATTGTGATTATACTGTGGTTGGTGCTGCCGTTGTTTCTGCCGGGACGTTGGGTTGGTGTGGAGAAGCCTCGTGTCTGCTCCTCGTCCAGCGAAGTCAGTCACCTGCAAAGAATACAGTTACCGCTGTCGAGTGTCTGCCTGCATGCATGTAAACTCGCTCACATGATATCAGCTTGAGCCCGCTAAGTGGTCAGAACGGCCATATGGCCCTCGCTTATTATCCTGCGGCATGCAGAAGAAACAACCACCACACAGCAGCAGTAGAGTAGTAGCAGCATCATGATCTCTTGTCCGCATCCATCCATCCGTCAGTTCATCATACACACACCATCATCACCCATCATCACCCATCACCCGTCACCACCAACCACAACCCACGCATGAGATAGAACTACCTATCTTACATTTGTACGATGGATGTCGCCAGTATGATGTATCCGATCCCCTCTGTCAGAAAATAAGATCTCTTCTCAGATGAGATACATACATACATACCTTCTGCTCACCTACCTCCTCTTCGTTCTCCTCCCCTTCTTCTACGCACCACCACCACCACCATAACCACATGTGCACACCAGCAGCAGCACCACCCACCACCCGCAGCCCACAACTCACAACACACATAACCATGTTGTACATACATGCCTCCTAGAGCCTAGAGAGAAACCGAGAAAATCTCCGACTAGGTTGCTCAGGCCGGCCATTGATCCCGCTGTCATCGTAATAGGTTTACTCAACCCCTGCTCCCTGGCGGGAAACCAAAACCACGGATAGATTAAAATCCACCACACCCCTAAGAGGTCTGAGCGACTCAACTTCTGAACATTCCCAAAAACGGAATCGCTCTCAGCCCCCCACGAGCCCCAAAAACAAGGAAACAGAATATGCCTCTAAACCCAGGCGGGAAATTCGCAAGCGTTCCAAACTTTCAGTTCTTCCACAGGCCTGTATCTCGGACGATGATCCGTTGGACTGGGTGCGGTCTCGTCGTGGGTCACTAAAAAAAAAGAACATCATAGTTGCATAAGAGTCATAGCGTAAGTAAGAGTAACTAGAGAAGGAAGAAGAGTATGTGTATCATCTGTAGGGTTGTAGGCATGTAGGCAGGCATGCAAAGTACTCTCTACCTACTCTAGAGTACTCTAGGTAGCATGTAGGCATGTAGAGTAAGGGAAGGAGGAGGTACCAAAGCTCCCAACCCACAAAGAACCTGGACACTGCATTTCCCGTGGGGAGTGCGCACGCTTCTGGAAAGTCACGAAGGACAACAGGTTCCGGAGAGCCGTTTCTGGAAGCCACGGAAAGATCGGTTTGCCTAATTTCAACGCAGATCAGAATGGGCTCAGTAACCTTTATCCGAAATGAGCTGCGTACCGTCAAGCTTGCTTCCTTCCTGCTTCTGCAACTCTCCCCAGAGAGCTTCGCTCCAACCACTGCCTTTTGCGGTGAATCAGTGGATCAGTGTGTTGGGTGTACAGAACCCGATCAAGACGAACGAACGAACGAACGGCAGTGTGTGGTGTTGTCGGGAATCGATATGTAACACTAAATACCAATTGGTCCGTCGTTGGAAACTGGACGTTGGACCATGGGAGGTTGCTGGCACGCGCATAATAGACTCCCCCGTTAAAGAAGCAACTCGTTGCGACAACGACCCCATCAACCACCAACCTCCACTCAACTTCTTGTCCACGAGATGATAAATTCCCCACTTCCCCTCCTGCGTGGTACACTTGTTGTTTTTGGAGTCTACATAGGTATTTCTATTTCGTATGATACATCTCATTTACGAACACACTAAACCATCGCTAGCGTAAAATCTTAGGAAACAAATATATCCCGGGCATACCATTTTGAAATTCCAACTCATCTATGGCTTTGCGGACAAAACAAATTTGTTTGACGGCAGCCCTGTCGTGGATGTCTTGAACCGAAATACAGCCCCATTGTCCTTACATCCTTCGGGCTTCGGGTCATCGGAGCCTACACCAGCCGACGTGATGAAAAGCTCGTCATTGTTGGGGCCCCCAAATATCGGGCAGGTTATCTTCCAAGCATCCATTTTAACCTCGGCAACCTGTTTTCCCTCTGGGGAAACGCGTATAACGCGGCTACCTTCATGGATCGCAACCCAAAGGTAACCCTCAGAGTCTACGGTGCAACCATCTGGGACGGCATCCCCATCGTCCAGAGTGAAGAAAGTACGTTTGTTCGAGATGTTTCCACTCTCAGGATCGAAGTCATAAGCCACTATACTCTTCGACGGCGAATCCGTAAAATAGAACGTTTGATCGTCAGGACTCCCTGCCAATTACTTTAGTGTCTCTTTATATTGGTGTATAATTAGGTGATCTTACAACCCATGCCATTTGGTATGCAAACATTTTCAATCATTCGGTGTAACGTCAAATCGGGATCCAGGCGAAATACACATCCTATCATTTGGACTCGATCACCATGCCGTTCGGCAGTTATTATAAGGGAATGAGATGAACCGCGGACTACCTTCTGGTTGTGGTTCTCCAGAGTGGAAACTACGCGGCAGGTTCGGAGGAGTCAGTCAAATTCGGAAACATGAGTGGGATTGTCTCATTACTCACTCGTACATAGTGCCTGCCCAGAAACGGCCTTTTGAATCAACATTTCCGTCGTTGAACCTGTTCACGTGTAATAAGTTTCCGTCCAGTTTAGAAAGACCGTTATACGTCAAACGACCGGAGATTCGAACCTCATTCTATAGCGTCAACAGTCAATAAATTTAGGTCATGAGTGTGACAGCAATCTCGCTACGTGGGGTTTTAGGAAGCGAACCTCTCAGCGGTCGTGGGATCATCGTAGACCTTCTTGATATATCGCAGTTGGCCGGTCGACTTATTGAAGATTGCAAACCCTAATTTGGCAGCAACTATATACTCTCCCTCGTGCCCTTCGATATCCGCGGTTATACTATGGAGACACCCCACATTAACAACGTCAGCGAATCTCATCCATTCGGTACATAAAAATAACTGGTATATAGTTATAGAATGTTCGATTTAATCCCCGCACATACCCGACCGAGTGTTCCAGTTTTGTCACCTTGTGAGAGTTTGGTCCTTCAGCAAGATTGACAGAGTGGATCTCCTTCTTGATAATATCGACAAAGCGTAGCTCTCCTGTAGCCTCTTCGTAGTACGGCCCTTCTCCCAGGGAACACTCGGTGTGGAGGTAGGGCTAACAAGATTCAATCAAGTTTTCCCACCATTAGAGTGTGCTCCTTTAGGCAACTAAGCAAACGAGCAACATCAGGTTACTTACCTCCGAGATTTTATAGGTTTCAATTTCCGCCATTCTGGGTATGATATGATGTTGGTATCCTCTAGTTTAGGAGGGGGGGGACTAGTATTCCAAGCAGCTGTTGATAAGGTGATGCTGTTTATTTACCAGGCGTATAGTCAAGTATCTTGGAGGAGCCGCTGATTTATAAATGAATTCAGTTAAAAGAGCTATTCGTCTTTGTTTTTTTGTACAGGCAAAATTGGGCGTGCCGTTTTGTAGGATACAATTTATCAAACTCGTTCGAGTTTCGATTCGGATGTGTGTCAACACAAACAGCGGGCAGCTCAAGGAAAAATGTAACCCCGCGTTGCGGCAAAGTGGCGCAAAGAGGAAACGCTTATTCTGGCATTTTCGGTTCCTCGGGCCGATAAACCAGGGGATTATGCTCAAGCTTCGGAGACGAGGTCAGTCATCGGATAACAGCCTTCTGAGAACTGCCTGAACTACTAGTACTGTGCCTATTATGGCCAATTATGCGCACACAACACTGTAATATTGGTAAACAATGCCTTGCGATTTCTTTTGATCGGGAAACCATGGATCTATGGAACTGGGGCCGGATTTGGAGAATAATGTCCCGAGATTAGATGAGATGTAGAGCAGAACGCAAGAGCGGAAAGAGGAACCATGAGATGTACTTGGTTCCGATAATTTGGAGAGCTAAGCACGTATGGATGGCATCCGGATCGCAATACCTACCACAAACTAGAGCTACATGCAAGATCACGAACGATCCCATACGTAACAACCGTACCTCGACATAAACACCACGGCCATCTCCTAGCTCTGTCTGCAATAATTGATTACTATGTGCAATAGGCACAAATATTGCCGGTCGATTTCACGATCGAAATAAAAGGGATGTGGCATTCGGAGAAAAAAGAAATGTTCGGCTCATAGTAATTACTCTACCTAGTTCTTGCACTGCCACTGCCATCAAACACAGTGATAATCCCCCACATTTATCTACGGACGGCTGGTAATAATAATATCTCAATTATGAAAATCGATATTAAACTCGGAGAAACCCACTTTTAAAAATATGTGGCGGATTACCTACAGTGTATCGATAGGTGTTCATACGTTGCAACGTTGTGCCTAGTACTCTGTCCACTTGCATGTCTGAGACCCTTTCTTCAGAAGTACTCTACAGCGTTGCACCCTGCACAAGCCAGTTTCTACCGATTATAAGTGGACCCTTCTCCACACTATTGCATCTACACCCTACATACAAGATAGGTAGAGTGCTGCGAGTACATACCTACACCGCACATCTTACCTGCACACCAACCCCACGTCCCAACCAGCCATTCAGGTCCGCACACAACGTTTTGTGCCTGAATGCCGAGGAGAAACTGGAGGATTCCCCTTCCCCCCCCCCCCCCCCCCATAAGTTGCCTCATTATCGGTAGCAGCGTTCAAGGATCTGGCAAAAGCTGTTGGACATCGGACCGCCCATGCCTATTCCTTATCCCTATTCCCACGCCGGTAACTGGACTGGGTAAAGGGGAAATCGATAGGTGAGGTCAACTATAAGGCAAGGCAAGTTTAAGGTTGATATGCCTTGCATGACGCACATCTGCACGGCTGGTCAAAGGGAGGGAGGGATTGTGAATTGAGTTGACAGCCCGTTGGCAAGCAAGCGAGACAGCCTTGCTGGATGGCTATGATCAGTTGCAAACGGAACGGTACACACAATACGCTTTGCTCTAGTTCTACGGCAGGCATGAAGAACCTGAACATAAAAACGCGCTAGCAGGGGTCAAAGTGGTTGTTACCAGAAAAACGATGTTCAGGTTCTTCATGCCTACCGTGAGTAGTTCTAGCTCTAGCTCTAGCTCTAATTCTAGCCAAAGCATTGTCCTCTTGAACAGTGCTCGCTCTAGTTAATGCTCCACTTACCTATCGTTTTTCTCCGCTAAAGGAATTTTTTTTTCCCTACCGCCTCCGGCGGGTATTAAAATCATTGGCCGTGGGTTGGAACGGGTTGTGTCACTTGGGCAATTATGTGGTCAGCAGCAAATATTTGATTTTTCAAGACGGATGTCGTGTGCCAGAAACAGCGTACCCGGCTGTTAGTACGCCTTCTGGGCACAGGGCCTGGGTATAAAGTTGACTAGCTAAGACCTTCGACATAAGAAGTCGTTATCAGAAGAAAGACACAACTGCGCGATGCTCACTTGCTCTATGGGTACCCGGAAGTGAAATAATAATAAAAAAGTCTTGGGCTAAGCTAGAGTATCTATCAGATCGTCAAAGCACCAAAGACGTTCCATAGTCATGATTACAGTAATACTTCCGAGACAGCACTATACTGCTGCCCGTATAGCAAGCTAAATAATGAGATCCGGCAAGAAGATGCGGGATGAAGTTAAAGCGCCAGCACTTCCAGCCAAGTAAAGTAGGCAGCAAAATAAGAAAAGAAAAAAGTAGGATGGGCCATGAGCGCACTGTGCTCAAATCTCATATCAACGATTGGGAATCAGGCAGACAGAACGAGCGAACACGCGGGGTAATAGGATCCCTGTAGAGCTCGCTCCCATAAAGGGCAACCCCCATGCCGTCCATATTGGAAAAAGAAAATAAAATTGAGCTTCAGCACGACGCCGGACAACAGAGCTCAACTCCTAGGGTACGGCTGTACCGCCTGTAGGTATGTGTTGCCGATGCGGATTCCGTGCTGTACTCTACTGTGCAATGCGGGATCTAAATACCCGTTCACGTGGATCGTTCTCGTTCAGTGATCAGATTTCTCACGGTGGTGATGCATGTAGTCCGTTGGATGCCAAGCCCGAATATTCGGTGACACAGTACATGCTTAGCCAATTCAGCTGTTCACCAAATCTCACCGCTGTTATTGTCAATGCTACCGGTAGGGCATGAATGAGATCATAGCGAGACGAGAACTTACCTGCATTACCAACAAAGGGACCTACCCCAGACCAAAACTGGAGTAGCATCATGTTGTGCGTGATGATTTTCTAGGTACGTATGTAAGTATATGTGTAAATACTATATCTATAAATCCTCCACATTATTATTCCTCTAGTTGGATGTGATAGCCCACATCGTCAACATCTCGTCACGAACTACTCCATCAATAACGTAAATGGACGTCAACCATGCCTTGCAAATTTACTTGTTACCCACTGCACACACACATCTTTTCTTGTAGATCGTGGGGAAATACGAAGTCAGGAAAAACAAAGCGTTGTTTGGGGTTCTTTTTATGTAAAATTTCTATATCCATCAAAGAAGTGACAAACAGTTGAAACTTCTGGCGAAACTCCCAGGCTTTCATCCCACGATCGTGACCCCCACTCGACAGAACGGCGAAGGGCGACTTGTCCAAAGTCTGTGTCATCCCGGATGGACCACAATGGTTTTCCCTAGAGCACGGTTCCCAGGTTCACTGTTGTGGGTCAGCAATTGAAAACCACCGCGGAGAACCCCCGGAGATTGAAAGAGTAAAGACTGAATACAACTCACCATGCACCGCTTTGGCATTTGTGTAAGCTGATAAAGCGTACTGTCCGAGTTCTCTACCAATGCCAGATTGCTTGACACCTCTATTATTCCAACGTCAGTCAGTATTATTCGCTTACAGCAACACAGTGCGACATTATGATTCAAATAAAGTGCTGATACAGGCAGGCGCAAGTTCAGCAACCCCGGGATTTGGCAATCAGTCGCTTGTAGTGCAGATGGCGCAACAAAAAGCGGCGCGGGAGTACAGTCGTCTCTGGGTCAACGACGAAACCAGTTCGATGGCGAATAGGCCAATCGAAGCCAATAAAGCGCCCCGACCCCTTTGCTTTGACTGCCTATCAGCCCAAAAAGTAGCCACTCGTCATCGAGCCGGGTTCGTCGTTGACCCAGAAACGACTGTATCCGCAGGGCGCACAGTGTGCGTCCCTTATTCTTTCTCCCCAATCCTGTGGGTATGGCTTAAATAAATTGGTTGGCTCAATTGGATGTACTGCACAACGGCAGTATCTGAAACGTAGACCAAGTTATTGAAAGACCTATGCCCGCCCTACCCAATAACAAGACTGCGTTCCATCGGAGAATGTCCCGGTATTTTGGGGAAAGGGAGAATAAATGAAATTTATAAACACATACCCAAAAGGTATAGCATAGTGACTATCGTTAGAACTATATCGTAGAAATATATTAGTAATTCGCATACAGTAACGCATGTTTCCATATAAATCACCTATTAATCCAAACCATTCCAGCATCAAGCTTTGCGGCAACCCTGTGTGCTCTTGTAATATCCTTTGTAAAGATTGATGCTCCTAGGCCATATTGCGTACCATTTGCTCTTGAAATGGCTTCTTCCTGGGTCGAGAATTTGTCAATAACGACAAAAGGACCAAAGACCTCTTCCTGATTGATTTTGTGGTGAGCTTTCACATCAGCAAAAATCGTCGGGGCCACGAAAAATCCTTTCTCTCCATGGGGTGTTCCTCCAGAAACGAGGGTAGCACCCTCGGCTTTTCCGTGCTCAATGTACTCTAAAATACGTTCATGTTGCTGCTTGGAGACTTGTGGGCCCTGGAAAGTTTTTTCGGAAAACGGATCTCCAACAACGGAGACCTTCGCTGTTTCTTTTTTGAACTTTTCGATAAACTTTGGTCGTAGTTATACGTTAGAATATAAGAACGGTGTTATATCTAGAGATGACGCATTTACCTGGCTATAAACGCTTTCGTGAACGAGAATTCGAGAGGTAGCAGTGCAAACCTGACCCATGTTATGCATGATACCGACATGTCCCCACTTCACAGCTTGTTCCAGGTCTGCATCTTCGAAAATTATCAAGGGACTCTTTCCTCCAGTCTCTAATGTACTATTCGAAAATTATGAATGTTAGTCCCAGATGACTCGATGAAGACGCTGCAGCGGCCGTGATACAGACTTTCACAAAGTATGAGCTCTATAGGGGGCATTAAGTACATACATATTCTTCAGATTTACACTAGCAGCCTTCATAATGTGCCTAGCCGTTGCCGTCGAGCCCGTAAAGGCGATTTTATCCACATCTTCGTGTCCAGCAATGGCTGCACCAGCTGTTTTACCATATCCGGTGAGAACGTTAACGACACCTGGAGGGAATCCGGCTTCTTTGACAAGTTGTGCGAGGTAAAGAGCCGAAAGTGGGGTTTGTTCTGCCGATTTAAGAACAACCGTGTTTCCACAGGCAAGTGCTGGTGCCAGTTTCCAGGCAGCCATCTTATTAAATCGGTTATTATAGGTTCTTGTATTTTAAATGAGAATTGAGAAAGATACCATCAAAGGATAATTCCAAGGGATGACTTCTTAGTTAGCGTTATTACTTCTTAGTGAAAATGAGGTGGGTCTTACTTTGTCCACTATTTGTTTTAAGCATGAGTTAGCACTCGTTTATCCGAGGTTTTGGAATTACATACCAAACCCCAACTGGTTGATGTAGAGTGTATGCAAGCTTATTTGGGCCAGTGTCGATGGTGCGTCCTTCAACTTTGTCTGCCCAACCAGCGTAATACCTTTCCGAGGTATCCCATTAGACCGAGAATTTACGAGTTCGTTCCTTGGAGGAAAGGAGACCTACTTGAATACATTCACGCTCTCCGCAAGATCCTCTGCCTTGGCAACAGTATATGGCTTTCCCATATCCCAAGTCTCTATCGTAGCTAGTTGTTCCTCGTGTTGTTGAACCAGATCTGCAAGTTTATAGAGCAGCTGTCCACGCTCTGCTGGTGATATATCACACCAGGCTGGATTTAAGAAGGCAGCACGAGCAGCCTTCACAGCGATATCTACATCTGCAGCATCTGCGGCGTAGACATCGGTAATCTCAGTTTCGTCCCTGAAAAAATTAGCGGAAGAGCAGTGAAATTATTTAAAAGATGGTGAAGATACGTTGGACTGATTGTTGTGAGAGTCTTGCCGGACTGAGACTTAACGAATTCGTTATTGATGAAAAGCCCTAGTTAAAGTCAGCAGTGATAAAGCTAGCAAAATCGAAATATATACCAAGTGGCTGGTTGAATTTCTTGCCATTGGGGGCGGTTAATTCTTTGAATAGCGGAAGTGTCATTGTTGCAACTGATATAAAAATATCTTAAAAATTTGGTGTCAATGAGAATGGAATTGGGCCTGCGTAAACTGACTGTGAGAATTAGATGCAGGTTTTCTTATAAACGTCGAAAAGCGGGGAAGCATCATCTCATTGATCAAGATTTGAGTTCAATCAATTACTAATGTCGCTATTCTTTAACGCAAGGGATCTTCCGCGGCGATCACGATAACGGAGGCGGGTATGTGAATCCTGCAAAGTACCGAGCGCGGGGTGACGTGATGCGATGCGGGAGCTTTCCCTGCTCTTTTCCCTTTACGGAAACGCTATTCTGGCGCCAAGAGTTCAAAGGAGTGATTTGTTGTGACCCCCGATGTCAACACCTTGAACGGTATATGTACATGTATATATATTGTTTGATTTGATACATAAGTAGGTAGGTGGTATATCAAAATAATATGTACATACCATGCGATTTGAGTCGAAGTTTTTTTTTATATATAACGGGGTGCTAATGTCTTTTAACCCATCAAGTAAGATTAGAGTGTCAGCGGTTAACCACATATATAGGAGGCATGATACTCTGGACTCTACAATTAAATTAACGTTGACGACAATAAGTGGCATCGCATTATATTTACACCACATCCACCTAGAGTACGTTTTGGCACTGCTTGTTGACGGTTAGTCTCGGCCACAAGTCGCCGCAAGTCATATGAACATAATAAATTTACGAAGAAATTCCTTGAGGGCCGCGAAAATTAGGTTGGCGGTGGTGATAGTTTGAACCAAGGTTTTCTTGACACATGTTGCAACGTTCCATTGCAATATTGGTCCTTCAGCATAGATTTCCCTGACCCAAGGTGCTACACTAAACCATCACTCAACAAATAAGTACTTGCATGTGTGTACACTGCTAGCCAATTAAGCTGCCATGCCAGAGCTTCATAATTGATGCATTCTTAGAATTTATATTAGCTGTTCTCTATCAGATGCACTGTACCTACTCATTTACAGCCTGTCACTTAGGATTATTGGGAATATGGCGCTGTTCGGAGTATCCGTGGCCATTTCTAGTTACGTTTAGATCCCTTCGTTCGTTTTGACCATATATAAACGCTATTGGGGGTGTTTAAGTTGTTCCAGCGACTTTTATCTCTAGCACACCTAACCCACACTCCGCGAACCTCTTTAGGCTCGAAGCCACAGTTTGTGACCTCCTTTTCAACAGATCTTTCTACTCATAGAGGGTATCCACCCCCTGTAGCAGTTAGGATTTTGAATATCAACTCGGCTATTCTATGTGAATCGCGGGCACGAACGAAGGGATATGAAGAGAATCTACATGTACATGTAGCTTTGGGGTGTGTAAACCCCCAGCATGTGTAACTACATAACTCTAGAGTCTATCCCTAACCCAGTCTAGATACAAGTATGATAGTACAATTCAGACAAGTTTGAGGGTAGCTATTCTGTAGCCCCGATGGTCTCTATAGAATGAATCCCCCCTCTAAGGATTGGAGGCTAAACCCTCATGATTGCATGATCATATGAGGCCACAGTCCAGGAGTCAAATTGAAAGCTACATGTACACCTATATGTGATCTGGGTAATGTCAGGTCTATGCATCAGAAAGGTCCGTTAAATCATAAGCAATCGTTTGCCAAGCAAAGAGTTGGGTCTAAACCAAGCTAGATTTTCCAAGATCGCTGGGAAGGGTAAGGGCAGGGAGCGAGTTGCACCCTGGGGCTATCATAGCGTCGTCTGTAGCCCTTTACTAATTCAGGGTCCTTTGAAGAATTAAGGCGGCCCGGACCGTCTAAACAGCCTAACCTAGGACACAATTCTCCACGTGAGTTTCTTTGTTGTTTTCCCTTCGTATCCTAGGATCCTATTTCTTGCGGTTTGGCCTAGTTGATTCCCCGCAAAAAGATATATTAAAGACCCCTCTTAGGATCAATCGAGTCGCTTACGTCTCGTAACTTTCCCACTTTCCAACTGAAGATCTAATACAACACAAGGCAATTGCCCGATACTTTTACATCTACGAAAATGGCTCTTGTCTCGCCCAAGAATAAATTTTTGATTTGGGGTGGTACGTATCGCATCATGAGCCCTGGATTTCTGGAACCGGAGCTGACGCGACACTAGGAAATGGATGGGTTGCTGGTCACCTCAAAATGATTCTCGAGAAACAAGGTAAAGATGTTGTTACCACCACAGTCCGTATGGAAGATCGTGAAGCTGTCTTAAAGTAGAATTTTTCCCTTGATCGGAACCTTGATAACAGAGCTGATAGTTAGTTGCTCTAGAACTCTTGATGAGCTGAAGCCGACCCATGTGCTCAATGCTGCTGGCTGCACCGGAAGACCTAATGTCGACTGGTGTGAAGATAACAAAGAAGCCACCATTCGATCCAATGTTATAGGCTCATTGAATCTTACAGACTGTTGTTACTTAAAGGGAATACATTGCACTGTTTTCGCCACGGGCTGTATATATGAATACGACGAAAAACACGAAATCGGAGGAGAAGGTTTCAGGGAGGAGGAGGAAGCAAATTTTGCCGGATCTTTTTATTCAGCGACTAAGTCCAAAGTTGAGGAGGTGGAGCTATCTTGCGCTAATGAAAGGGTGTGGGTACGTGCTAATGCGCAATTCGGTCAATTTAGATAATGAAGACATATCCAAATGTTCTGATTCTGAGGCTCCGCATGCCAGTATCGGATGATTTACACGCCCGAAATTTTGTCACAAAGATCTCTCAGTATGACAGGGTTGTGGATATTCCGAACGTGAGTTTCTAGCTACCCTCCCAAATAGCGTTTAGTTAATTCCGTCCTAGTCAAATACAATCCTTACCGACCTTCTCCCAGCATCGATCATTCTAGCAGAGAATTCAGAGTTGGGAGTATATAACTTTGTAAGTTTATGCCCCCGCTATTCAGAAAACTGGCTCTTGCTGAGGAGTTATATATTCCAGACCAATCCTGGTGCTATTTCACACAATGAAGTCCTAAGCCTTTTCAAGAAATACGTCCGCCCAGACTTTGAATGGAAGAACTTTACGATTGAGGAGCAAAGCAAAGTAATCAAAGCAGGTCGATCCAATTGTATGCTTGATACTTCAAAACTAGTGAACAAACTCAAGGAGTATGGTTATACTATTCCCGAAATCCATGACGCGTATGAACAGTGTTTCATTCGTATGGCGCAGGGCAGGGCTACCTGAGGCGGATTCTGCGTACCATCTTGGTGGATTTTCTTTTGGTTTTGGTTCCAGTTTTCCTTTCGGTCGGTTTGCTGGGAACGCCGTACAGCGAATGGACCCTCCCGGGGAAATGGCTCCTTCTTCGATTAACCACAACAAAGGATGATCATATGATTGTTTATATTTGCACATATGGGTTTCAACTATATTTGGGTTATAATTATGTTATCAAGAATTTATATGTTAGAAAGCGAGTGGTTTAAGCCCATAGCACCACCTAAGCACGAAGAGGAACGAGAGGAGCAAATTAGCTTCGGAAATAGTAGGGCTAAGTTTCATGGTGGATGCTTGGCGACATTGATTTGAGTCATCTTTATTCTGATATTATGAGGCCTAGGTAAGGGAAAGATGAATCAGCCTTGGATGCTGAAAGACCGAAATTACACAAGATAAATTAACTAGGGGAGTTACACATAAGTGCTTATCTGCGCCCATAGGTATCGTTCCCGCTAGAGTAATTATAAGACAGTTGATAAAAAAATTAAATTCGCATGATATGAGTAGAATTACATATGTAGCAGTACAAAAATCCTCAGGGCTTTGTGGTTTCTTATGCTAGACAGAGCTAGATCAGGGGATATCTGGCACTGAGGATTTACCAGCTTAATAGGCATAAGTAACTACGAGTTCATCTCAAATTTTCTATGCTTACTGGTCGTGATCGAAGGCGTCTAGTAGTGCTTGTAATGCGCCCCCCCCCCAAAAAAAAATAATCCTAGTCTGGGGACCTATGACTCGTATGTAGAGTAGCTCAGGGCTTGGCATATATATAGGGTTAGGGGCTAAGTCACAAATCAATGATTATCGGTGACGTTGTGGACCTAACAGGTTGTGATTATCGGGGAAGACGAATCCAGCAGATAGAATGTACTGCGCCGGTCAGTGAGGTCTGTATAGGCAAAACTCGCTGACACTTTTTCTCTTTGTACTTTCAGTCGCTGACCGGCGACACTTCCGTATTGATGGGATTTTGGCGCTGACAAAATTAAAATGGAGTTCTGTATAGGAAGATATACCTGTAGGAATCAATACATCCAGCTCTCTGCCGGCTTTAGGAGAAGCGGAAAAATACGGTCCCAAACTTTCTTATTTCGAACCAGATTCTTGCAAAGAAGGGTAGATTCTTCTCACAGGAACTGACCAACGCCCACTCTGTATAGAAATTTTTTCCCTACCAACACTGACAAAAAAATACTCTTTGTATTGTACTCCCACCGACACTGGCAAATGGCCTTTTTTCGTATTGGATAAGCAGTCACTGACCGCTGACATCCAGACCTCACTGACCGGCGCAGTACATGTATTTACCTTTCTTTTTCTTTCTTTTTCTTTTTTTTGGGGGGGTTATGTTACTCGGTAATAAACCTAACCCTTATTCCGTGAACCTTTTGCTGTAAAGTCACCTTCTGTGACCCCTCCTTGTAGCTAGATTTTTTGCGGGCCTAATATGTCTCCGATTTTGCTCTGACGAACGAAGGGATGTACTGGCAAAGACGCAAAGTCCTCGGGTCACGTGTACGCTATTTTCTGGCATCATGGTGGGAGGACTAAAGTTGAGAATCACGGGACCCGGAGACTTTGCGTCTTTGCTAGTACATACATACATGTAATTCCATTAGCCTTTATAGTCTACATTGTAACATTGTAACATTCGGTGCGGTGTATGCGTGTATTCAGAGCCTTACCAGTTCGTTGGCACCTACAAACATCAAACATGTAGGTACATTGAATATAACAGAAACACAAACAACTGAAGGCCTACTAAGTACATGTATTCACATGCGTTTAGATTGAGATATATTTAGGTAAACCCATACTTCAATCTTGATACAAACAGCAGGACTAAAAAAAAGGTTCATGCTGAGTCACCAGGCCGCAGTAATTGGGGCTAACGCAACGTCACTACCCCAGCCACTGCCCCACTCCGCCGCCTTCCAGGGTCTCATTTGATTTCACTCTTCTTCCCTCTTCCACCGTCCTTCCCCCAGTCATGAAATAAACACCCGACATTGAGAATACCCTTCATAAAACTGAAACTTTACTCACAAATAAACAACCTACGATGGTGAAAGAAACAGAGTACTATGACACCCTTGAGGTGACGCCTACTGCCTCGGAACTGGAGATCAAGAAGGCGTACAGGAAACTTGCAATAAAACTACATCCTGACAAGAATCTTGACGACCCGACCGCGCCTGCTAAGTTTCAAGCTGTAAGGTTTCTTCCTATGTTGTGGAAGCGCTTTTTATACTCGTCTATCTTATTAGAGTGCTTGGGACTAACTCCGCAAAGATTAGCGAAGCGTATCAAGTACTTAGTAATGAAGAACTCAGAAAACAATACGACAAATACGGAAAGGAGAGAGCCGTTCCAGATAGTGGATTCGGTAAATGGCCTTTTGTCTGCATTTTCGAGACTCTGGAATCCGTTCATTGAGCGGTGTGTTTTACTAACACGAAGGTCGTTTACAGAGGATCCGTCGGAATTCTTCAGCATGATATTTGGTGGCGATGCATTTGAAGATTGGTTTGTTGCCCTTTCATACATAACCACGCGCGGCTTCACTGATCTTGACATGTGATAGGATCGGGGAACTCTCTTTAATGAAGGATCTTACTCGGACCATGGAGATAACCATGAAAGAGATGGAGGAGGAAGAAGCGGCAAGTGAAGAAGAAGCGAAAAATAAGGATTCTGAGATCAAATCAGGTTCTTCTTCCCCCGGAGTGTCTGGGGAGCACAAGCCTACAGAGCACAAACCCACAACTTCTGATGGGCTTCATGCACCTGTTCCTGTCACACCAGATGGAACTACTCCAACGCCACAGGCAGCGGCTGCTACTTCTAGTCCCGAGCTACCAATACCTACAAAGGCCAGCCCTACTGCTTCCAGATCCAGCACACCTCGTCCAAAAGGCGTTCCAACGAGGGCAATGCTCATGGACAAATCCGAAGAGGACCGGATGGCTGCTGAGGGCCTAACAGAGGAGGAGAAAGAGCTGAAGCGCAAGGACAGGAAGAAGGCTGGAATGACAAAGAAGCAGCGGGAAGCATTTGCCGCGCTCCAGGCGGAACAGAGAGAGACTAGGAATAAGAGGGTTGAGATGTTGACAAAAAAATTGATTGATCGAATTAGTGTTTGGACCGAGACCGATCAAGGCGAGGACACCACGCGCTCATTTAAAGAGAAGACGATATGTGAGGTTGAGAACCTCAAGATGGAGAGCTTTGGAATTGAGATCCTTCATGGTAGGTTACCGCGGCCAGGCTGATTCCTCGTAGGTGGGGGCTAACGGTGATCACTAGCTATTGGGCACACTTACATATCGAAGGGTGCATCTTTCATCAAGTCCCAAAAGTTCTTAGGAATTAGTGGATTCTTTAGTAGGTTAAAAGATAAGGGCAATATCGTTAAGGATACTTGGGGAACTATTTCCACCGCGATTGACGCCCAAATGACGATGGAGGAGATGGCAAAACTCGAAGAAAAGGGTGGCGACGACTGGACAGATGAGAAGAAAGCCGAATACGAACGGAAGGTTACGGGGAAAATCTTAGCTGCTGCGTGGAGAGGTAGCAAGTCTGAGATCCAGAGTGTTTTGAGGGATGTCTGCGACAGGGTTTTGAACGATAAGAACGTAAAGTTGGAGAAAAGAGTCGAGAGGGCGCATGCGCTAATTATGATTGGTACTATTTTCAAGGCCGTAAGCACCCCCTGATAACAGAACCCCTGTTTCCTGTTTTAGGTAGGCAAGTATTAATTTTACATAGGCCGAGCGTGATCCCGACGAAGAATTCCCCGAAGGGGTTTTCGAGCAACTTGTCGCTGATGCTGCAAAGAAAGAAAACGATAAGAAGGATAAGAAGGGCAAAGCAAAGGAGGCTGAAGCCAAAAAAAATGCTCCCACAAAAGGCAGCCCTAGTAAACCCAAGAATGCTTCATCCGAGGAAGCGTCCGAGGATGCCAACATGCCACAACGAACGTAATTCTAGGGGTGGGTGTGGGGAGAATAAATTGTAGACTTGTCGAGTTTGCTGATCGACTATGTTGCGGAGTGATCACCTCTCTGTATTTGTCAGGCCCGGATGTTAAAATTCGGTGATAGAGTATTGGGGTGTCTTTTTTGTAATTCGCCGCAGCGCCGGCCTCATTTTTCTACTTTCATCATCTCTTATCTTTTTATTCCATTGCTTTCTTCTTTCCACTACTTCACTGGGAGTTTTATAAACCGGAGGGACTCTTTTATTTTATTTTCTCCGAGTAGTCTCGAATATGCTTGCCTTGTGCTTCTATACCCTTCCCTTAGTTACTATATACAGTACCGTACTTACCTACTACCAGTAGCATAATAATTTTCACTGCTTTTATCTAGCGCCAAGACCTTGAACCTGAGTGCTTTAACTTTAAGTGGGTTGCGAGGTTAACTAACATGGGTGACCTTGACATGTGAGAATGCGTCACGGTGACCCATGAGGGTTAATCGTTTCACGACTAATCACTCGGGCTTGGTACCACCCATCGCAGGTCATCTCAGCAAAGTATTCCAACAGGTCTCAATTTTATTGCCCTTGTAATGATACACCTTATGTATATGTAGTTGGGTCAAAGAGCCATCATATTTCACGGTTATAGCGCCGAGGCCAATTTTTATCCCAAAACAGATATGTCTCGAAGTCCTAAAATTCTCCCTTCAAAAATTCCCTCACTCCCTTGAGACCAGCTTTCAGCACCTGCGTTCCACAGCAATATCCAATTCTAAAATATCCCACGAACTCTTCGCCATGCCCAAAGCACACCCCACCTGGCAGAAACATGATCCCCTTTCTCTCCAGTAGTTCTTCACAAAATCTCTTATCATCCACTATTTCCCCATCTTTGCTTTCAAACTTTACAAATGCTGTTGTCCCTGCGGTAGGCTTGATATACGAGGCGTTAAATTTCCCGTCACTAATCTCAGGCACCCGGGTGATGAAATCATCGAGAATCTTTAGGTTTGTATTGCACAATGCTACATTTCGTTCTAGGATCTTCGAGACGATATTAGGAGAGAGAGCGTATGTTGCCATTGTATCGTCAAGTTGCGATACGGAGATGGTATTATAGTCCCGTGCACTGGCGCAGGCGTCGATTACCCCGTGTTGGCGAGCGGCGACCCATCCCACACGTAGGCCTGCGAGCGAAAATGCTTTAGACATGGAGCCAGTTGCGATACCATGATCATAAATATCAATGATAGATGGCGGATGAGTTGAGGTGTCTAAAGAATGAAATAGAGGGCGATAGACTTCATCAGAAAGAATTGGGATATTGCCAGAGATTTTGGCGAGATTGACGATCTTATGGAGTGCTTCAGAAGGGAGAAAGTTCCCAATAGGGTTATTGGGGTTACTGGGGGTGTGATTGTATGAGTTAGTATCAACGTTTGTTTCGTGTAGTAAGGCGGGTAGTCAATCGTACTTGATAATGATCAATTTAGTTCCTCCGGTTCCATCCTCGTTTGCTGGCCTGATGAGCTTCTCCAATTCATCAAGATCGGCTGTAAATCCGTTTTCCTCCTTTAACTTCCAGAGCTCCACCTCTGCACCTAAAGACTCTGGCACGGCATAGAGCTGCTGGTAAGTCGGATACATGCAAATAACATGGTCACCAGGCCCTACGAGGGTATATAACAGCAGGAAATTGGCTGCGATAGCCCCAGGGGTGATCAGAACATTGTCAACTGGGAGCTTTCCCATAAGAGACGACGAAGAGTAGAGCTTTGTAACATTTTCACGAAACTCGGGGGAGCCGCGAATGTGCCCATATCCCAGCGTCCTTTTTAATAGTTTATTGAGGGATTCCTGAAACTTATCTTCGCCCGAATCCGACGATGACAATAAGGAAAGGTCTGTGAGAGAGATGGAATCGCAGCAGGTCTCGGCGATATTATAGGTTGCAACAGTTTCGTATCTGTCCATCCACTGTAGCGACACATATGAGTAGGTAGCTTCACTAACGGGTACAATGATTTAGAACTTACTTGTTCAACTGCAAAAGGCTCAATCTTCACCATCGTTATTATTATTTGCACGCTTCTCTTGATTTTTGCGGGAGTATTGGGGGGTGGAAGATACTACGGGAGTTTACAAGAAGCAGATACGATCTTATAAAGGATTCATCTTTACTCCCAAGTACTTGCCTCAAACCGTACGGATCGTGAGTCAAACGCCCGTATCGCAACTCGTTCTCAGTTTTAACACTGTTCGGGCTTTCCGGTCTACTAATCCTTGGTTGTGTTTCTAGAAGCCTCTCATGTTCTCTAAAATAGAGCCGGATGAAGAAGGTCCGCTGAGTGCATGCAATGAATGGGGCGATTTATGCACAACGAAGGTACTGCTTGCTATTTTACTTTGGGGACGTGGATTAATTATATCTGGACATAATCTAGGGGTCGTCGCTATCACGGCTGCACCTTCGCCTTGGGGTAACAGCGGGGTTAAAAAGCGGGGAACTCGCCGTACTTAAAACAAAAGTAGGAGGACTACATGGTGGCACAAAACGAGGTCCAACAATGATATAAATAAAATAAAAACCAGCGACCTTCACTGCTTTTTTCTCTTTTTCTCTTTTTCGGTTTTGCTTGATATAATCTCGTCCCTACCGAATATAAAACTGAAAGGCTCGTGCTGCAATAAACTGGTTTAACTCCTAGAGACAAAGGGACATGACAATCTCATTGACACGCTCCCTTAAAAACAGCATTTGGGAGTGTCAACAAGTATTGAATTTGGAGCTATAATGCAAAGACAAGGGATATTGATTATTCTTGAGGCCGGGTTGGGTCTTCATCGGCTGGAAATTAAGTATCGAGTTAGTATATAATTTTGATTTTGACTGCGAGTATTAAGGGTGTATTTACGCAATAGAATTCCCTGATCAATGACAGCTTTGGGATCCGGACGATGGGCAAGTTTTTCCTATAGTCGTGTCAGTAGAGAACGAATCAAGATATGCCTGAGCTCTTTGAGACGGGCCGGAATTCTACACGAGGGCATCCATTCCAAATCTAAATCATCCATATTTTGAGTACAAACCTTGAGATTGTCTTCCAACATGGACCGTTCCAATTCCTTCTGATGTGCCACTATACCTGGAGCGACAGCATTGGCATTGATGGGAAGAATATTGCCTAATTGATGATGAGTCAGTAAATGTTCGTTGGGTATGATACAAAGCTAGTACATACGCTGTACAAGATCCTCTTTCTCCGGTCTCTTCGCCAGATGTTTCTTTAAAGCATCCTTGGCCATAGCTGTTTCAAGGTCTGTTGATGGAGATAGATTAGTGAAGTTATTAAAACAAAAAAATTCAAGCTGTGGTCATTACCGTGCTGAACCTGTTGAATAGCAGGAGCTCCAGTATGCAAGATGTGGCGTTCCTTGAGCTCTTTCTCGTCTAGGCGAGCCTTGAGAGCTATTTGATGTTAGACCAGTTATCACCCCTGAAGATACAGTGCTTGCGTACCCTGCTCTAAGGAGTTCTTGCGCTCCTTGATAGGAGAAATGGGGGTGGTATCTGGGGAGTTGGGAGCTTCTTCGGACATAGCTATTGATGTTATGGGAATGAGATGGATTTGGGACTGAAGGTAGATGAAGGGCGATGAATGGGTATCTTACGGGTTATGAGTTGTTTGTTGATGCTGATTTGCAAGTCTCGTGGTTTTGCTGGGCCCCTCACTATTCACTCGTCACTCGCCCGTTTGCGGGGGGGGCGCTATGCATGATCTGGCCTGGCGCATCAAACTGCGTCACTCATTATGGCAATAGGGTTCAATTGCCTTGACGATCACTTCCTCTTCGGAAGAAGATTGGAAAGCCATAAAAATTTGATTCTGAGGCCTGCTCTCCAAAAACTACTCCATACAAAGATGCAATCGAACAAAGCACTGAACGTGAATCTAGGATAATCACGTGAGAGCACCTATCATCTCACCCCTGTCGTGTATTGTCGCGTAAACCCGTGGAAATCAACGGTCGATTGGCTCGGTCGCGTTTTACTCACGTCCTCTACCACCCTCGAAAGGCCACTGCCACACAAACAGAGAACTTCCAAACTACATTTGTAGAAATGTGGCTACTTGAATGTGAAGGTGATGTTCTCGCTGGTAAGAAACTATGGTTGAAGCCTGGCAAGAAGTATGTCCTAGGCAGAGTTCCGTCTGAAGAAGGTATGAGGTTTTGAGTGCCATAGTTAGAAGGGTGAGAGCATTAGTTGACTTCTACGGGACTAGTAAATCTGCCGATGCCCTCACAAAAATCAATATCCAGGATTCATTTGGTCATCGAGGTTGAAATGGTTTCAGAGGGTGATGGGGTAGCTTTTACAGCCACAACCTAACATGCCATACTTTACTAACTGAATGTTTGTTCCATTCAGCTGAAGTTACACCATCGACCAAATGTCCTCGTTCAAGACTGTGGTACAAGACATGGGACCAGACTCGATGGCGAAGAAATGAGGGATCAGACTAACTCATTAAGTGGGGACGAGCACTTTCTTCATCTTGGGAAATATGAACCAGGCTTTAGGTAGAATTCATCTTCCATACACTTAGAATCTAGCTGACGATCAACTTTAGGCTATTTTGGAAACCTGTTGTTATCTCCTTCTCCCTTTCAAGCAAAGAACGCAAAGATGTTAAGAAAGCAATGAGACCTTACCAAAAGAAGGTCGAAATTCTTGATATCAAAACAATCGGCGGATATGCTCCAGAAACTACACATGTCATTGCGACTAAACGTAACACCGCTGTGGGATTACAAGCGCTGATAAACGGAAAACGTATAGTCACGCCCGAGTACCTTGATGCTATCGTCGCAGCCAATACCCCGAGAGATGATGATGATCGCGTGAAAGAATCGCCCCTAGAGGTAGACTTTGAAGGGAATTGGCCAAACCCGGAGAGCTACCTTCCACCGCGCACTAACGAACCTAAAGACCGAGAGCCTTGGAGATATAGACCAGATAAGAAGCGGAACTCTCTGTTCGAAGGCTATACTTTTATAGTTTGTGAGAGGGCCCAGTATGAAAACTTTTTAGGTCCGATCACGGACGCACATGGAAAATTAGAGATGTTTGAGCTGGAACCGAAGAAGACAACAGCTGAAGAATTGGTACAGTTTGTGAGCAAACGAGAGAAGGGATCGCAAGTTGTCATGGTCAGATTTATCGGAAAGCAGGATCCGGAATGGGTAAATCAACTTTCTACAGAAGTACAAGAAATGTATGACTCCAATAATCCAGTATATACGATGATTTCAAGGCATTCTTGGAGACGAATTTATCTCCGATGAATTTCTTTGTGACTAATGTTGCTATAGGCTGGGGTTTCGTATGATAGAGCAGAACGAATTTTTGGATATTATCCTAATGTGTGATACGAGCCGTTTGAGGCTGCCTCTTCGAGAGCAACCTACAAATTTGTTGGCTAATCCCGGTCAGGGTCCGTCTCCCCTAGGAATTCGCCCCATCTACGGAAACATTAATATTCATAAGATTAGTAGACCTAACACTTTCGACTCGTATCTCCGATAATCCACCCTCTAAATCAGCTCTTGCGCCAATGGAATCGAATATGGAAATATCGGAGACTACTGCCCCCCAGATACCAATTCCACCAACCCAGGTTTCCGGACGTGGACGTGGACGCGGAAGAGTATGATCCCTACCAAACCCCTTCTCTTAGCACCAACTAACATGTAGAAATCTCTCAGGCTCGGACTCGTCAAACAACGCTTGACCCATTTGCAATCGATCCATCGGAATTCAAACCACCCCCAGCCCAAAGCCTATCAAGTACTACGAGTCAAAGGACGGAACTACAAGATTCTGGGGCTAGGGTGCCCTCACCTCCTACACGCGCGCAGGCTTCATTTCAGGTTAAAGAGACTGCTAGCCAGAGTTCAGCAAGGCAGACACGCCAGACACGTCAAAGACAGAGAGTTTCCGGTACACCTATAGAAGAAGATGATGAGCGAATGTCCGTATCGACTCCAGAATCGAGTACTAGATTACCTGCCCCCCCAAGCGTTGTCATTGTTAATCGAAAACGACCTGCTGTAATTGAGGATCCGGAATTTGATATAATGGACATGCTACCTGGGGCTAGAGAAGTAAAACGCCGGAAGATTGCAGAGGAAGAAGAGCGGATCCGAAGGGGGGAAACAACAATGGAAGAACCTCGTGAACCCATACCATCAACGGATGAACCAGTTGGAGTCGTCGAAACGCCGGAGCAAACACCCTTGAAAGGCAAAATTAAGAAAGCTCTAAGTGAGAAGGAGGATTCATATGTTGCAAGAGCTCGTGAAATCAAACAACAAGAAGAAGAGGAAGCTAGAAGAGCAAGGGAAGAGGAACTAGCTGCGATGGATGGTCTTGAGATTGAGAAGATGAGAAATTTAGCCATCGTAGAGGTTATGGAGATGAAGCCAAGGGCAGATAAACCGATCAGAGGCGTATATGGTGATGATGGCGATAGATGGGATGACAAGTGGAACGGGAGGAAAAACTTTAAGAAATTTAGAAGGCAAGGAAGGGGCGGAGGCATGAGGACTATGAGGGGCAGCGTAATGGTGAATTTGGTTGAGCACAAAGGGAGAGATTATGGGATTGGCGACGGTATGTTTTTTCCATACTGTTTTCTTTTCTTTCCCCCCCCCCTCTCTCTCTAGGACTTTGCTAAGAAGATATCTCAAGGCTACTGGGTTGATGATGAAAGTAATAAATCAACAAGAAAGACGGCTCGGAAAACGGCGCCAGTGCAGGTTAACGAAGACAGTGGAGATTCCGATAAGGATGATACTCAGCTTCAGCTTCGACCTGCACCCACTAACTCGGCGCGATCGACAAGACAGACACAAACGCAGGCACAAATCCAAACCTCAAGTCAAACAGTTTCTATAGCGGATTCGCCTTCCCGAGGAACAAAGAGAGGCGCATCTGCTGCCAATTTAGGTAGGATGGGTGTTGGAAAGAAACAGAAGACTATGTTTCTGAAGAACGAGAGCGAAAGCGAGGACGAGAGTGAGGACGAACTGAAATTCAGATTTAAAAAGAGATAACTCTCAGGGCTAGGTTTTTCCTAGTCGACTCTTTTTTAAAATAGAGGATTTAATACGTCACCACGACATATACACATGTAGATAATATGCCTGTGCTCAGATCTTATGATAGGAATTAGCGGAAAGTTCTGGTTCGACTAAATTGACCTAGATCCCCTCTTTACGCTTTCTGGCTCGTGAAAACGCTATTATCTACGTACAATCGACCAAGTTTACATAAATATTCTTTTATTGGAACTAACGAAAAGTATACTTTTCCATAGTTTCAAATTCTTTCCTTCCTGTCTAGATTTCACTGGATGAGATGAGGCCAAACCGCGGTATGATAGTTTGGAAGGGATGAGGCCTACCGATATCAAATACCGTATATGAGTCTAGTATAATTTAGCTTGTGGACATAAATGCCTAACGGAGCGGGATGCACTGACAATATCAACAATGTTCTTATTTCTCAAGATCTCTTGCCGCGCATAATCATGCAGCTCCGACCTTGTTACAGGGTCATTGACACCTTTTACTCCCATTTCACATAAGAAAAATGCGTTTTCTAGCTATAGTCTGGGAGATATCTCACGTTTTAATGCCCGCAGTATATCTCGCCATAAAGATAGTACTCGGGCTCGCTGGATAAACTACACAAATTCCGTTTGGTTTTCAGTAAGCTTAATATCATGAATTTAATGGTCGACGGACGTGTTTTAGACTCGGAACCCCGCTTCCAGCCACCATTGTGGGCAAGGAACTCTGGAAAACCCGTAACGTGGAGCGCATGAGGATTTTTTGTTCGGTTGTTGAGATGACGTCGGGAGGAGCCGCAGCTAGTTAAACCCTTGCTCTACGCACCCTAACAGAATGTCCTAGCTGCTTTTGAGTTGCAATTGGCCAAGTGCCCCAAGTGTGGGGATAAACAATAGATGAATACATGTACAACGGCGTGGTCTTCTATCAGACATATCAATCCTCCCGTTTTTATCTCAACAATTTCAGGACTTTGTAGCAGGTATGGAACTTTCTTGGCAAAGTCCCCTGCTAGGTTTTATCATAAGATATCACTGTCCTTGCTTGCAATAGAAAAAGTTGGGATGGAGCGCGCATCGAAACACCTGTCATTATGATGCGCCATAACATGAAGGCATCTAGTGTTGAATGACCTGATAAAAATATTCATTTCGGTATAGATTGCGCCCTATCCAACTACGGTTAAATAAACCTACTCTAGCCCGCTCAGAGAGTCGGTCCGTTCGGGAAGTCTCATATATGAGTGCACCTAGCTTCTACTCAAGAAATAAATATAGGAATGGCGCCAGGAGTGTGTATATACCCAATTTCCTCCGGAAAGAACCAAACCCGTTCACGAAGAATACAATACTGTGTATTTACAGCATGGAAACCTCGCTTAATTAGCCCCATCTCATATTCATGGTCTATTTGAACAGTCTGTGGTCAAACTGTAAGCGTTCGTTGCCACCGCCACTATCACTACAAGTATCACTATCACTATCACTACCATGAAATTCCAAAAGCTAGTTATTCTTAAGGTCTGATAGTAATACTAGCCGAGTTTATATGAATTTACCTGTTATAGAATTTCCCCTGCCAGGCAGGTCTTAATCCAGAAACAAACTGCAACAGCTAAGACATCATGGAACTTCGGGAATGGACTGATTTCCTCAGTGAGTCGGATCTAGAACAGACTTCAATGTCTGTTACAAATACAGCAAGTCTGTTGCATTACAAGACGAGACTCAGAAGCTATAACTCAAGATCCTATAATGTCTACGAGCTGGGGAAGCCCCTTTAAAGATAGGTGGGCGAAGGAGGGGACAGCAATAAATGTTGGTGATCTAGATGACTCCTGTATACGGATAATTATAAGCGTTGGTTGGTAGCAGTGGACAGAAAGGCCGTTGAGTGAAGTGTATGGTTGATATAGACGAGGAGGGATCGAGCGGTTTCTGAGATAAGGGTTATCTCCTGAAATAAAATGAAATATAGACTGTACGTTCATCATACTACCACATTTATAGGGGACTTTTCTTCGAAGCCTTAAGATATTCTAACGGTTATCCCAGTTATAACTCTATACCACACAGTATATGTCTTGAGTCGGGGCAGGTACAGAACTGTAACCCAGTCAGTGAAGATGATACATTTCCAGTCTGTTGGATGGTAGAAACTTACTAATAGAAATAGGTATTGTTTAGTAACGACGAAGAAGACTATAGTACTTACTACAAGTCATCTGATAAGGTCTAGTTTTTTGTACATGCAGTACTATCGAGGAAATGATGTGTGTATTCAGGGGATGTCGATCATCAAACAAGGCCCATGATCTCTGCGCTCTACAGAGAGAAAACAAGTGCTAGGGGCACATAATAATATGAGTTTTGTGCTAAACAAAATCCTTGAATGTAATGTGCTTAGAGGGCGGTCATGGCAGGAATAATATAAGCCATCATGAACTATCACTCGTTCGAATCGTCTCCATATATATATTTTTGCTTAGAGCACCGCCGTGTCATTTAAGCATCAAAAATAATATAAGGTGCAATTGTGTTATAAGAGTGATAGAGTCACTATGTTAGAGTGTTGGCGCTGTCAATTGCTGTTTCGCCTCGAAGACTCGGCTCTCCAAATTTGGGGCAGAATTTTATTACGCTAAGATCGTCAAGTTTCGCTACTCTACTCTAGAGGTGAGGAGAGGAAGGAAGGCGATTCTAGAGTTGATAGTCTAGTTATTGACTTGTGTGTAGTCATGATTTATTGGTAGAAACTATTGGTATCATGTGAACGGGGGCGGATCTCGTGATTAGTACCTCGTACATAGTTTAGTTCGTCTTACACCTGGAATGACTAGATCGCGTACATGTGCGTAGAGAATCGTTTTCTTATATTCAACCAAACGGCGCACGCAATTAAGACGCGAAAACAAACTAAGTACCTACAAATATACGCAAGCCCTGACATGATATAGTACTGAATGGGATATCCACCAAAGTAACAAATCTAAGGCTTGTAGTACAACTGATAAGATATTACGTATCAGATCATGGTATGCTTTTTTTTTTTAGAGGGGTGAGTGTGCTTCTCTGATCAGGTTGTTAATGAAACCGGCGTACACAACGTAACACAAATCTCACGCTAGACCTCCCTGTAAAACGGTCCATACCAACAGGCCGGATAACTCTCTCCGAAAAGAAAGAAACTCTAGAGTATGGAGGGTTATCCAGAGATGTAAGGATAATTACTGGGTGGTTATCTGACGGCGATTGACAATGGTGGTAATAGATCAGATGAGCAATATGTCGACGGCAATGATTCTCGAAGCAGATGCACCATTTTTGAGATACGACTCCTTAAAAAGGAATCTAAGAATTAACTAGTGCCATCCTTTAACAGTGTTGATGAGCACCTATTGATATAGATTACGAAGACCTTTGCACTCTGGTTGAAGCAGCAAGGCATACAAAGGCGTCTTTTTCCTTTTTCGCCGATCTTGACTTAAAAACCATACGTACACTAATACTAGGCATTACTATTGTGCGTAAAATATTGGCATTACCGTGACAGTTATACGGCACTTGGGTGGGTGTTCTCGGCGTGTATCTGCAAATAATGGGCTTGATTGCTGTTGATGAATACCGAGATTCCATGAGATCGACTCTGATAAAGAACATTCCAGAATATATATTATTCCGGACCCAAAATATCAAAGGAAGAATATGACGTTCCAAACTTTTGGTGAGTGCCTTGCCTAGTTTTGACGGTGGCACAAAGAAAGTACAAGATCGTTTGCGGTGGTACAAACAGGCATGTTGTTGGAGACCAGGCGTTGAGGTACAGATGAGATGAGATGGAAGGTAATACCGTCCTTGGACCGGATGAAAGCGAAGCCGTCTGCAAATGTCTCCAGACACAGTATTACTTTGATCCCCGCCAAGGCTGGCTTCATGATTCCTTGGCCAGTCCAGTACCAAAGGTAACGGCACAGTTATGCAAAATGTACTCCTAGGAACACTTGTAAAATGCCTTGATTTACATGGAACACTTGTAGACCGGAAAAAAGAGTATATGCTAGCTAATAGCATAGCGCCTTTACAGGAAATTCATTCAATAGTTTCCTCCATGAACTCTTCTCCCAACAAAGGCAGAATAGCTTTCCTCCATCAAGAGAATGATCAAGTCTTTGGCATGACTCAAATTCCAGTTAGGACCCTTCCCACAGCTGAACAGGCAGTCTTAAACCTAACCCTGACGTTGCTTGTGCTTAGGGTTTTTGTCGCAAATGATGTAGACTCTACCCTTTCGGCGAACAGACTGTAAGGCGTTTTGAAAGGCAGTCAGGCAAATGTTTACCTCACAACCCGGAGAGGGCGAATATTCAAAATCAAAAAGTAACGAAAGGAAAAACAGCAATGTAGGTACAAGATTATGGGGAGGATAGGGCGGGAGGTTATGGTACCTTACAGCCCTCACACAGCTTCTTGACCGATGACCGCACTTTCATCCCTCGCTTTTGCTGTTGCTGAACGACATTCCATGACACTCGTGAGCCCAGGAAGGGAAGAGTCAGAGAGGGAACCAGCGAAGTGGAAAAGAATTGTCTGTTGGAAGCGATCCGAGGCAAGGTAGCAATTGTAGTGGGGTTAGGCCGTGACAAGGACTTGGTGGTAGAGCGGATGAGAAGTGAGAGACGAGCAAGAGGCGCTCCGGAAGCGAATAACGACATGGTGGAATGATCAGTCTCCTAGTCGGTGTCGGAGGCGTTGAACAGTAGCTGTCGCTGACGGGATAATTCACTCAACACTGTTGAGTTGAGCTAAGTGAAAAAAATTAGAGGTCGCGATGGTAGGGCCTGGTCCAAAGTCACCGCCATAGCAACCAAGGTACACACTGACCATCACGTGAATCTAGTAACAACCCAACGTCAAGCTTTCTAGGTTTCAAAATGACAGTCATTAAGGTGTATCGTCATCCTCCTTATCGACTGTTCACAGAGAAAATATCAACGCAATGACTATCTAAACATCTATTATATTTTATACAGTATTTTTCTGACTCAAGCCCTTGCACGCGTTACTAACCCCATGTCATTTGTACAGTATCAGATAGACCTTTGCATGTATCTATTCCTGTTCAGGCCAATGGCCAAGGCGAACAATAATCCCAATGGGGGCTGAGTCTGTAGTATCAATATGGTGGCTGTCCACAAAAATCTTCTTCCTCTTGAAAACTATATGTATTCTCTTAGGACTATTCCGCTAATCTTTTGCAGACCTCGCTAACTTCCACCAATCTCCTTTGTGGATTGCTTGCATTGCCCTGACATCTTGTACTCGGAGTATACATGTACCCACCACTTCCATTCAGACATTCTACTTCCCCACCCATATAGTACTACTGCTGCATATGCAACGCCCGTTATTTACTCCCTATCCCTTCCCCCGGGTAGGTCCCAAGTTACTTGGCCGTTAATAAGAGCTCGGTAGATTTAAACTCAAGTTTGGTTTAGCCTAGTATAAGTTTGATCATTGAACGAGAGAATAAAACCATTTCTCTGTATCCGTGCTCAGCCGTGTACTATGCTCTAGTCCGCCTCGAATAGTACAGGGGACTTTACGCACCTCAATCCCATTATTGTCACAATTCCGCTTAGGCAGCACCAAGATCATTGGTCGATTTTTTCCATACCCGCACGTGCCTGCGTCAGTAATGGCATTCGCAAGGCACAAACACTTCATGGCTTGCTCGCTTGAATAGTGTTTGAACACCATATGCAGCTCCATATGATCTTTAGCGTGGTATGAAGCCCAAGACAGAATAGATGCACACAAATAGATGTCTATTAAGTGGTACCAAGTATCTGTGGATACCAGCAAAGAGCCCTAGACCCCCGGTAGCTGTATGTGCAATGGACTGCAGCCGTTTTTTCTTCACCCTCTTCCCCTACCAAGACATCATCTGGTCTCACGCTACTCAACTTTACTGCTTCAGATTAGGCTCAACCTGGGATGGTCCAGTCATCCACGACGAGTCAACGTTGATTCCCAAATCTGGCCCCAGTTATTGATTGTGTTACACTATTTGCATCATTGTAGGCTTGGTTTAGGGCTCGAGGTGGTTTGTTTGCTCGACATCGGACGAGCCGGCGGAGCATTGTACTTCGGGATTAATATATGGCAACTCTTAATCGATAGACTTGAATCTATCCATTATCCTTTAGACATAAATACCTGCTTGTATTTCCTCATTTTCGATCGATATCACATTACAATCCTACAACATCGAACAGAAATCTAAAGGAGCTCGAAATATCATTCTACAAGCCATATTCATTTCAATTCACTTTACCTCAATTCATTTCATCTCAGTTCATCTAATCTCATTTTATCTTATTCTATCAATCAACCTACATTGAAAATATCATCATGCTTCACGACATGCCCGCAGAGCTTCTCCTCAATATCCTGTCTTACCTAGACAATTTAGACCCTGTTTCTCATGCTAGCCACACTCTTTCTTTGTCTACTCGAGATTTCAAGACTCGAACTTTACGCACTCGTTTAGCAAATATTAAACACATTGAGCTTTTGATGGAGATATGGACACCGCCATCGTTCTTCAAACCGCGAGGAGGAAGCCCCGCTTATTCCAAAGAAAGCTATATCACTCGACCACAGGACCGGCTCTACGATATGCTTTGTGATCCACATATGGTTGTGAAGGTTGAGGAGTATTTAGACAATCTCGAAAAGAAGGCTCGAGCGGCACAAAAGATAGCTAGTCATCTTTTGACTATGATGTCTTTCGACACAGATGAAGAGCAGCATTCATATGCTACAATGATTGTCATAGAGTTATGGTCAGCTCAATCACGCTATGGACATGACGTTGATGGACGTTGGTCAAATATTAATGATGAGTGCGGATTGCAAGAAGTGCATGTTCGAGACAATTATGTTACGAGTTTACCTTCTGAAATACAAGAGGCGATGATTACAGCATATAATGCGTTGGCACAACGTCTCCAGCCTCCATTCTACTCTAGTAGTCGAAGAGGCCATGGAGGGAGAATTATAGAGGGAGAGGGGATGTGGCTGTATAGGTTGATTGTTAAGGTAAGTCCCTTTGAACCTCAAACTAGATAGACCGGTTTTATAAGACATAAATTTACTTACGTCTTTTTTGTGGTTTTAGGAGGGAATGGAAACAATTCTTACACTGCTTGAGCAAAGAGGTTAATTTCTTATACACATTCACAAGGGCCTCGGTTTTGCTCCAGCATGGAAAGAATGCCAACAAGAGCCTATGGTAAAGGTTTAGATGTATGGAGTCTATATTTCTTTTCCTATTTTCAGAACGTTCACAAGATTTTAGATTTCTTTAATTATTTCATGACGGTCGTAGTTGTTATCTGCTGCTTCCCCTTCCACGATTTCTGAATCCTTAGCCTTATGTATCGTCAGTCCTTTTTTACGTGTATTGACTTTGTTTCTTTTTCCCGATGATTTGTCTTAGATGTCACCGCTCTCTAGTTAGCCTTTAGTTCTTAGACCAATAGAGTAACAATGCACCCAATGCAGATCTATAGTGAAAAAACTAATTACGTCAATAAAGCAAATTTGTTCTTTTAATTTCACTGTACTACAGATCATCAAGAGGAAAACATATTTAGAGCCAGTCTTTTTTTACGGGGGTGTCGAGTCGGGGACAGGGTTGCGTGCGCCACACAGCCTCACTCGACTAAGGTATGTACATACAATGCAAATGCAGCGTGTTATCTTTATACATATCAGATATGATGTCGGTGATTGAGTACCGATTTCCCTATCGTTTACTTGACGAAGTGAAGCGGATAGCACTACATGTATGTACATGTACATGTATGCATGTGGTGCCCACGCATTATTCATGTAGGATCCATCATCATGTATTATCACTCGGCCCGTGCTAGCCGCTGGCCAGGCGTTCTCCCCAGCAAGCAACGCTAGCAAAAGAGCAGGCATGTGGGCTGCAGCCGAGTTTTTGTTTCCTCGATTCGATAGACAAGGCTCCCCAATACTTACATGTATGTACCTGCATGTATGTAGGCATCGAGAAGCAAAAATGTGCACCATAACTATCGGAGAAGGCACACAAGTGCAGTTCTTTGCCTCTTCTCTGTGGTATGTTTCCGCTACACAAAACCAGGAAAAAGCGTGAGTGAGGCACGATACTATTACCGATATGTTCACGCAAGTAATCAAACATCTGAGGTGAATGCCCATGAAGGCCTCATAAAAATCCTTTGATCCTGTTGTACTTCCCGAAAAATTTATCTGACCCCTCTTACTGTGCAGGCTATGCCCAATGTCATTGAAGAAATGTAAGTAACGGTATGACAATGGACTTATGTATTAGTGCCGTGGTATTTCTACAAATGAGATGGTGGCTTGCATAGGTGTAAAATGATATTGGGCGAAATATATGGGTTAGCTGTAGAAAGAAAAGAAAAGAAGCACATTGTTCAGCTCACGATACAAATCCCAAAAAACAAAGAAGGACAAAGAACAAATAAAAAAATCTCTATATATAAACGCAAGGAAATTTCCAACGCTAGGTAACCATACTGATCTGTCTATTGAAATCTGGGTAGGGTTTGAAAAAAAGAAAACAGGATGGTTAAAAAAAGTAAAACGTAACAGGGCGCGGAAACCTGGTTAGGCAACAGCAGCAGCTCGTTCGCTCCGAACGGGGTGAAGGCATGTACAGGCCTCTGTGCCACCTCACTATTGTGCAATGGTGACACAAAGCGACACACGCTGGATGTAACACATGCCAAGCCACACTCCCAGGTGATACTCAGTACCCACTATTCGATCCTCTTTTTCCCCTCTTCCAAGTGAATAAGTCTGATGTTCCCCCCGCTAATACTAGAGCCCCGTTCACGGCCACCACCGGCTCCACTACTGAAGCTACCCCTCTCTACCCACTTTCCCACGATCTTGTCTTTCTTGGCCTTACCCAGCGCCTCGTTGTATCCATCCGCTGCAAATCCCGGTACGTTCAACTTGGGCCAGTTGACATAAAGCATGCCGTGATTCCAAATGAAGCTGGCGGCCCACAATCCTACAGCAAGCCAGAAAAGCGCAAAGATTCTGATACTGATCAGACCGCTTCCGGTTGGACGGGGCAACACAAAGGCTGCAAATACAAGAAACATTGCAGCGTATAGAATATATGGTATACTTTGAATCAGAATCGGACGTCGATCGACAAAAAGGAGAGAGGAAGAGATGTTGCTGCTTGTCGACGGCAGATACACTCCCAAGAAAAGATCATAGGCATCCTGTCTGGGCCCGTCGGCAAAGTTATTACGGATGTATCGAGTTATCGAATTTGATAAATCTGCGAGTGCCCCGGCTTTTGTTCGCACCCCCGTTCTGGTAAAATCCGTCTTGAGCGCTCCAGTTCCGGAGTAGGCTCGGCTCACAACATCGGCGTTGTCAGCCCACGCTAGAATCAAATGTCAACCATAATCCAGCTAGCCACCAGATACCAGCCGTCATAATCATACGACAAAATCACAAAGTCGACGTCAAGAAAATCGGGCCTTACCATTTCTAAACATCACTTCAAAATTTTCAAAGCCGGCAGTGTTTTCCCCTTTCTGAAGCACTCCTAAATCGATCATCTGACGATTTAACGTCCACCTGGCCAATACGCTTTGCACGACGTTTGTCCTGTCCAAGCAATCCATGCAGTTCGTCCTTACAACGCTCTTTTGGCGGTTTCGCACAGTATTTGTTACACCGCCCTCGACGGAGTGGAAATAATGCTGTTCGTGCAATCCGTCACCCAACTTGTCGATCAATAACTGGACCCTATGCCATTTCATTCCTCCACATTCATGGTGGAAATCGAAATAGATATAATGCAAGCGGTCGACTAGCTTTGAATCTCCCATGGGCTCAATCTCCCGGAACCTTTCTGACGTTTTCGAGGAGCCCTCTCTACTCTCTGTAGGTGAGGTAACAAGCATTTTGACCATGTTCTCATAGCCCGCCTTGACTCTTTCCTCGCGTCCTTTCTGGTTGACTAGATTGACCATATAATTGTCGCCGTATAGCCGGATCTGCTCATCAAAATGTTTCCTCGCAGAGTTTTTGGCCAATTCCAAGCTCTTGAGATGAATTTTAGGGGTATACTTTATGTTATTCACCTCCGCCCAATAAACTGGGACACTTCCCCTTGTTTGAACATAACTGAGAACCTGGACACTCTGAGAACCTTGTTTGCTAGCCATAGAGCTCTGGTCGTAACCCCCAAGCCCACCCGAAGTGTCGCCCAGAATTACAATTTGTTCCGTTTCATTGTAATTTGCTACATTTCCAGCTTCATCAACTCCACGAGTGAAGTATCGTGTACCAGCACGATGACGAGACTTTCGTGTGATGAGAACAAAGGTTAAGCTGGTTGACTTAATCGTGACCGTGCTAACGTTAAGATAACCGAAAAACACCGGAAGAATGTAAGGGTCCACCTAGTCAAGTTAGCATGGTTAAGCCCAGGATTCCAAGTTTGGTTTAGTCTTGCATTGTCCAATCGAATGTCTGGGAACGATGCTCGTGGAATATGCAGAGTTTATGTGGGGTAAATATAAATAAAATGTGTTGTCTTACGGCAGGATTGGAACTTCTCATGTCAATGAGGTCCGATTGGACATGTCTGTTCCAGAAAAAACGTTCATCCGCCTAGCCAAAAAATAAAAAAAATTAGCGTTCAATCCTCAGCTCTGTGGAGGTACCTATGACAAAGGCTTTCAATCATACCCTTTGCCAAAGTGGTAGCGAGGTGTTTGCCGTAGACTGGCGCTGAAAAGAGTTCGTGAGGTCAAACGAATATGATAGATACATCGGCCCGGTACGCAAGTGCGTGCGTAAAAGCGAAAGGTAGGTGTCCTCATCAGGATCCTATGAGAATGAGGATTGACATTAACACAACTGTTCTGCTATAAGGGTTTGTTCTGGCCCCTAGTACTCAAGAAAAACCTAAACCATGACATACGTGTAAATGCCTATCTTGCAATGGTAAAAACTCGACAGCTTGAACTTTGTACACAGAATGACCGCGGATGCGTCCGACAAGTAAGGCTTTTGTAATAATGATTATATATTTATCTAGTAAAAGAGTCAGCTCGAGTGAAACCCTCAAGCAAACATTCTCTAATTACTGAAGCTCAAGCACCCAACCCGAGGTGCTAACTGCTGCAGAGAACTACCCACCAAGACGTAAACGGATCATGCCCATAATTCCTGCAATGCTTGTTACCCGCTTTCCTTCAGCTTTCGGCGACTCGACCAACCGCATGTCCCCAGAGGGACGGTCTATGACCAGAGCGGGGGCATTGGGAGACGATGGGGACCGAAAAGTGTATTGCGAGGCTGAGGCGGTGACATTGATGTCTCTAAAGGGATTAACGGAGGCCATCGAGGCTGCGCTGTATTGTTGAAGAAAAGAGGTTTGTAAAGGCTTTGGAAGAGTTTTGAATTCGCTGGTTTATCAAACTTGCAATGAGAACAGAAGGGAAAGGTTGTGATTTTTCGGTTGAAGAAAAATGTTGCTATTCTCCGGTGAACATCTGGCTTTACCTCCTGTTGTTTTGGGACGGGAGGGAGGCTGAATCAGGGTCCGGCTTAGTCAGTAATCTTAGCGTCTTTAGTTTCCGCTGGAGCGCTGCTCTTAGAAATACGCTAGTAGCAGGTACATAAGTTAGGATTTACTTATCCATGTGATGAAAGTACTGTATCACTGGTGATGGTCACGGAGCGACTTGCTACAGGTTAAAGTTTTAAGCTTTAGTGAACAAGCTCTTAATATTGTAACAAAAGAACGAAATAGATGATACTTGGCGCTAAGGTAGCATGTTGCAATTGGCTAGACTCTTCGACTCTCCACCAATCGGCATCCGCAAACCTCTACCTCAGCTTTAGCATAGGTAATTTTTTTGACTGGAGTTTAGTTCAACACACGACTATTTGCTGCCTATAGCTAGAATTCAGTTAAGGATTCTTAGCTGCTAGACCTTATTCCTTTACACAACTATCGATACAATTGGAACGATACATATACTGAGCAGCAACAGAAACCTCAGAATTCGAGTTTTAGGCCTCAACTAGCTCAAGCACCTTAATAGTGATCGGTCTATCATCGGACTAGGACGGTATCCTCACTGCCTTATCCATAGGCACTTAAACCGAATCAAACTCTCTATGTGTTTTCTCTCCGACCAGCTGTCGAATCCACTGTTGCCGCGTGCTAGAAATTTATCTTTAGAACGCCTTGGGTGTCGTCCAGCAATCAGTTCAGCCATTGCTGCATTTTCAGCGCGGGTCACGTCTGGCCTGGTCACAGATGTCTCTCGGATTGATTTATGTATGTATCCTTTTCGCGGCTCTTTGAGGACTAGAGTATGAGGAGTACCTATGAGGTTATGCGAGAGATCGATAGGCAGCCTATGGTAAGATTGTCGGAGAAGCGGTTGGAATTAGAAGCTATTTATCTCTTGCACTCGGATACAATCTATATTCAGTAGAATTGATCCAACTAAAAGGCTTTACTTACCCTAGTATTGGAACATGAGGGGTAACTTCGACTGGTGCGGGACAGGCAGGGATATAGATTGGCGTGGAGAGAATTCCAGGTTCATGTCTCTCGCTCCCGCAGCCGCCCCCATCATTGTACCAGCATGTCTACACTTCTGGGAATTATCATATGTGCCAAGACATTACAGCCACAACGTCCTACTTAACAAGATTGAAAACTACAGATCAACATTAACCTATTGATAATTCATTTACGATCAACATAAGTGGATAGAAAAACTTCATCGGGATGAAAGTTGTGCTATGAAATAACAGTAGGGGAAAAAGGGTAATTTAAAATTCGTCACTATAAAAATCCTATGAGTATGCGTGCAGGTATGTATGTATATCCTGTAGTGCTTGTACTTAATTTCGTAAACTATAGCAAGTGTTGAGAATTCAGACCGTCATTCATGACAACCCGATGTTACTTTGGAATTACTCATCTTGACAAAGAAATACCAAATACACCTCACTTCTTTGAAATTGTCACAACTCTGTCACAGTTTATGACTCACATGAGTCTGACCTCTGCGTGGAGATCGATATGAAACATAAATGTGAGTAGCCTCGTATATTTGTTCTGCAAGGCTTGCTATAAGGCTGAAAAAAATACTGGGGACTTGATTACAGAATACAGAAGTCCCGTGATCTGTGCTGCCCTATGCATAAAACATCACTCGATGGTACCTGAAACGATTAGCCCGGTGAATCCCCGGTGAACAACACGCTAGGACACTAGAATGGGATTACAGTACCACAAAATACCATGTACCTGATACTACATGTATGACTAATTCTCAACCGTATCATCATTCTAAGCTGGACGGTATGCCATCAAATAGGGTACTAAGTTATACACCAGTTTTAGATCTAGATACCATCGGTGAAGTGTTCTGTTAGAAGGTCGATTGTTTAACATTTGCCCACTTAATTTCCCGAAAAACCGCAAGGATCTTTTTTAAGACCTGGAACTAAATATACTCTCTAAGGATATCTGGGAACCAGATCATTAAAGAGATTTGAGTCACATCAAATCACTCGAACCTATAACACCAGTGAGGATAATGTGACTCTCTAAAAGGTGGTTCTAATCCTGGAAAAACGCTTTATAAACCAAACGAGCCATCTCTATTCCACGTTTCTGCAACACTACCATACCAACAAAGCAAGTTAAAAGAAGAGAGAAAAAATGAACAGAAGATAAAGAAAACAGAACGGTTTAATAGACAGGGGGATATTCTACAAGTCCCATTTCTCCACATCCTTTCAATGCCTATAACAACCTTAAACCCAATCCGCTCCATCCCTAGCTAGTAGTAGCAAGCTTGCTTTTCGGGAAAAGAAAAGAGGAAAGAAGAAGGAAACCACAGATCGCTTTTTTATGTAATTCCAAAATGGAAGTAGAGAAATCACTTGCTAGAAAAAACAATAGGAAACTCTAGATATTATCTACCCACAGGCAAAACCAACCACTCAGTTCCGTTCCTGGACCCTCAAACTCTGAAGTCTTGCCTCCGCCGCAATAACCTGTAGTTTTCGCGTTAATCAGTATTTTACCTTCACAAGAAAAGAAGAAATTGACATCGATTGCTAGACAGGAAGCTTACATCAACTGCCTGTTGCACCTCCAACAGCAACCTAGCCTCCTTCAGCCAGTCCTTTGCTAGTGTCCTTGACCATCCGCTCAGCTGGTTCATCTCTCTTGCCGCACTGTCAATATCGCCCTCCTGCAAGAAAGTCTCCGTGCGGGTCAAGATGCTCTCAACATCATTTCCTTGCGCAAGTCCCTGCTTCCTGAACAACACCTTGCTCAACAACCAACTTGATGCGTGTCCTGCAAAGCCGGCGTCTTCCGGAAGAAGGGCAGCCTTTCGGACCTCTTCTGCAACACGGCGGAATCGGTCGACCAGCTGGGTCTGTGTAGGTACACCCTCCTGGTATGCACGGGGGTTTATGGACGCAATTGCAGCACTGACCACCCCATCGTCACCTGCAACCTCCTTCAACGCTGCGACCTCACGCAAGAATGGCTTGGGCTGCTCGGGGGACTCGTATGCTGCACGGACAGCCTCAAGGGCAACATGCATTTGCTGTGTCTTTAGGTTCGCATCAATGACGTCGGCCCATGAAGTTGAAAGTTTGCTCAATTCGTCAACGCTGTTGGTCAGTTCCTGAAGTTTCCCAAGCCTGCCGTTACGTTCCGTCTCAACGCGCTCTTCAATCTCGCCAATGAACTTCCTCTTCATCTCGATTGCCTGCTCAAGAAGCTCATTGCGAAGACGTTGCTCAGCAATTTTATGGGAGCGCTCTAGCTCGTTGCCAAGACGTTCGCGGTAAGATTGGATGATCTTCTCGCGCTCGTGCTCGAACTCTTCCTTCCATTTATGCTCTAGGTCTGATACTTCGCTGTTGACCTTTGACACGAGGCTCTGGGCAGCAGAAGCAAATTCAACATCCTTGCTTTTGAGCTTTTCTTCAGTTGCCTTTTCCAAGTCACCTTTAATGGTTGCAATTTGCGCATTCAGGTGTGAAAGCTCTGATTTGGCAGAAGAAATAACATCCTCGAAAGCTTTGGCGCTACCGCTGTTATTAACAAGGGAAATGATGGTGTTGACCACTTTAACGAGATCCTGTACTACGGGGTCGTTGACACTTTCCATCTCTACGGGGCTAATGGAATAGTTGCTTCCGCCACTCGCCTTTCCAAGCTTGGTAACACCCTCAACCTTCGCCGAATCCTTGCCGGTTGGTCCTGTCTTTTCACCTAGAACAGTGGCCTCGGCAGGCTTCTGCTCTGATGAGTTCGCTTTTGGTCCCCCGGTCAATTCGGCCCGTTCCGCCTGCTGATCCTTGGTCCCCTTTGCAGAGATATGTGGGCCATGCTTGCCTACATCTGTTGTCTTTGGCTTCTCTTCCTCGTAGTTTCTCCATGTAGCACCGGATGAGCGGGGGATTGTCACCTTTGGCAGGGCCTCCTTCGCCGGCATAAGACGGCTCAATGCATTAGGGAAGCGCCTGCGGAATTCACGCTCCTCAAAGTAAAGAACTGCCTCTTCTCCGAACGGAATATATTCCGTGAAGAAATCATGGAAATTGTCCGACTTGAGAGAGTAGAATACCCCACCACCGAATGAAAGACTAGTCAATAGTGTGAGAGTGATAATGAAGTTCCGTAACCTGTGTGTCTTCTTTACTGGATTACTACCCGGCGGCGGTGGGGGTGCCGAGTCTGAAGCTGGCTTGACCGGTGGAGGCGGCGGTGGAGTAGCTGCAGCAGCAACAGGCTTCTCAGCCGGAGAAGAGGGGGTAACAGTTTCGGTCTTCACGGCAGAAGAACTTGTGGGTGCCACGACAGGCGGTGCAGTCTGTGTCTTTGGTCCTGCTGGGGTCGGCGGTACTACCTTAGTGGGGGAACTCGGTGAGGCACTCGTAGGTGTTACAGGGCTCGCAGACTTCCTCACGGGCTGGGGCTCAGAGAGCGGTCCCTTCGAGCCGATGCCATTTCCGGGGGTTTTGATTTCGCCGGGCTTTGTAGATGTGGGGGTTGATTGAGGGAATTTGATATCGGCCAGGTATCGCTATGTGGAGGGAAACAAGGAAAGAAATTTTCAATTTCGGGTCAGCCCAGCTGTAACAATCTCTTGATCTTGACATTCAACACAACTCTCGCTGTATCTGGGGGTATTTAAAATGATAATCTCTCTCTCTCTCCTCCCCCACACGGGATGGGATGGGATGGATGGTGGGTGGTGAATAACGAACCTGCTGCTGCTTCAGCGCATACTGGCTTCGTGCGATATTTGCAATTGCCCTGGCGGGAGCGGCGGAGGACAGGCGCAACATTGCAGGCCGGCCTACTCTAGGGACGGAGGGATGATGAGGGCGCGGGGGGGGGGAGGGGGGATGGAGGGGGGTGGGTTAGACCTGAGATAAAACGGGGGTGGTGGTTGAATGTGACGATTGAACTAGGAACTGCGTTCACTACTGTACTCTGCTCTAGAGTAGATATGATTTGATTGATAGATTGATTGCCGCGGGTGGTTGTCAACAACCCCGGTAGAAAAATTGTTCCGAGTATTTTTCTTGATGGGTATGGGTTGGCAGGCTTTTGTTTCTACTCCGAGTGTCCGTCCCATCTACAAGTAAGTCGTCCACGGTCTCCGCCGGAAGGAAAAAAAAAAAAAAAAGGTGATGCAACAGCAAGGATATTCCGGGCGCTGCTTATGACAACATCAGAGACATTCCAGGGAGGGAAACTTGACGCAATCTATCACCACTCAATTAATAGATCCCGAGGTTTCTTTGTGCACTTTAGCTCAAATCCAAAGGTTCACAATTTTGGCCAGAACACACTCGAATTAAGATTTTTTCATCGGATCTTTCTAAAAACTCATCACCACTTCACAAAATTATAATATAACTAGTTCTTCCAAACAACCAAAAAAAACTGAAAAAGGACAAATCAAATATCTGTTTATATACTCATTTATAAGTCCGAAAACAAACAAGAGACATTCGTTACCGTGACTAGACCTCAACTCTCCTCATATCGCTTCTCAAATTGCTCGTACGCGAATCTCTTCCTACAAGAGCCAAGACATTGGGGGGTATTGTATCTGAAAGGGCCGGAGCGAGATTGAGAAACAAAGTAGATAGTATGTAGAGGAAACATCACCATTAAACGTAATATTCTTCCTCCTCCCTCCCACCTTCCCTCCTGCCGCGACCTGGCTACTGCATTCAACACAATATTATCTTTGCAACCCTTCGTTCGCTCAAATTCGGCTTTGACGCACGAGAGTATAATAAGAAAGAAAGAGAAGAGTGAGAGAAGAAAATAGAAAAACAAGAGAACCAAATTTCGACCGAGAGAGAAAGGAAGCTATTGATACCACATAAGAAAAAGACACAAACAGATACGGGCTCGACCTCGCACACAAAGAGAATACCCTGATCACCACCACATCCATTCTGAATTGCCCATTTACACATCGAATGTCCCACTTGACCTCATAACGAACATTGGCAGATTTAACAATTACATCCTTGCTGCTGCGCCGCTGATCCGCCCTTCAGATCAACTCCTCGCCCGCCCGCACCACCTGCGCGACCGCCTCTAGGGCCTTGCTGGTCGAGAGGCAGCTTCTTTGCGATGGCCGTGAAGAGTTCCTTCACGTTCTCTGCAGTCTTTGCCGAGGTCTCAAAAAACAGGAGACCTGCTTCCCGTGCGTAGGCCTCGGCTTCTGCGGTTTCAACAGCTCGTTTTGATGGGTCGGATGCAAGATCGAGCTTGTTACCGGCGAGGGCGATTACTATGTTTTCGTTTGCTTGTCGCTGGAGCTCCTTGACCCAGGCTTTTGCTTTATCTAGTGAAGACTGGAGAGAACATGTGTTAGTTCGATTTGTTAAACCGAGTCTTTTAAGGAGATTTTAGGACGAACAGCTTGTGTGATATCGTAGACAACTACTGCGCAGTTGGCGTTACGGTAGTACATGGGCGCCAGTGATTTGTAACGCTCCTGGCCAGCAGTGTCCCTATGATCCGAGTAAAACGGTTAGTTTCAAGTCACTCTGGAGCGAAATCCTCCAAGGAACTAAGCCGAGGGAAACTATAACGATAACACTCACCAGATCTCAAACTTAATAGTAGTGGTCTCATCGAGGGCGATAGTTTGCGTCAGGAACGCAGCACCGATGGTAGATTCCCGGTAGTCGTCAAATTGATCCTAATGGACGTAACGTCGTCAGCAAAGAGCTACCCCGAGAAGTATCACCGGATAGAGTAGGTTTGCACTGACTTTCACGAAACGGAGTACCAACGAACTCTGGAAAAATTAAAGGTTAGATAAGCAAGAAGCCGGCAAGACAAGAAACCACGACACGAAGAGGACACACCTTTCCAACAGCAGATTCGCCTAAATGCGGGGGGTAAGGAACCAAACGTTAGCGACAGCTTCCAGAGAGGAAGAATGACCAATCAAGAAAGTTGGCGAGAGAAGAGTATATGACATACCAAGAAGGACAAGCTTGAACTGGGCGAAACGTTGAGACTGAGTTGATGCACGGGGATGAGCCATGGCGAAATTCGGATGTGAAGGTTGAATAGAAGCTGGTCAAGGAGTTTGAGATTATGAAAAGAGAGAAAGGGAGGAGTGATTGAAAAACTTGATAGTGTTTGGCCGGTTCGTTAAAGTTGGTGATTGTGGAGGGGGGTGGGGATGGGTGATTAAGAGGTGGTGATTACGGTGATTACTGTAAACTGTGTAGATAATGATGATGGGGGGAGGAACTGGAACAAGGCGTCGGGAGACTCGTAACGGTGGCGGTGCAGTGCCTAATTTATGGTGATTGCGTAGTTTACCCTTTTTTTTCTATGGGAGACAAAAACTTTCAAGGTTTTCTTTCTTTCTTTGAAATATATCAAACCAGGTCACGGGGAAGAGGAATATTCAGTTGGTGTTTATGTTTAGTTGATCAGATGTGAAGCTTGTTCAGTTCTTTCGTTGAGGTGACGAGGACTTGTGTGAATGCTGGATTGGACACGCGCGAACACAGAACAGAAGACTGAATACGATTACCGCAAAGGGTCACTTGCCAGCAAAGTGCAAGAGAACTGGCTAGGACGGCTTTTAACACGAGTGGCTGGAGACGGTGGGAAGGCTTACCGCATTGGAGAAAACTGCACTGTAAAAGGAAATTCATTCACTTCATTTGGACTAGCACTTTAGGCAGGGGAGAGCTTCGCTTATCGCAGCGGTCCCTGACATCTCACTATCCAGCAGCCAAGCCTAGTGATAGGTAGAGCAAGCACTGGCACTGGTACCTAGGAGCTATCCAAGGTGGTGTAGGTACAAGTAGTGAAGCTCGGCCAGCGTCCTGAGTGAGAATACCTGCAACCAACAACAGCTTCTGTGTCTTTCTTTCTCTCAGTCCATCTGTAAACTCACAGTATCCTACCATAGTTTTATCTCATCTGTTTCTACGAGTCTACACCATCCGTGAATTACATACCTCCCTTCCACAGGTACTAGTGGTTATATAGTGTTCAGCTTGAAAAAAACATCATGGCTACTGACGGCGGAACTGCTCAAGTCTACCCAAGCAAAGCTCTGGGCTTCCTGAGTATGTACTATTCCTTTGCTCTTATCACTCTCTCCTCTCTCCCCACACACCCCTCACTTCCCTAGAAGCCCTAGCCCCCATCCCATCATCTCCACAGTCTAAGCAGTTTACCCCTCCAAGCCCCCCTCCTATCTAACCTTTTCTAGCTCTCGGTTCTTCCATCTATGAGGTCCTCACCTCTCTCCGCCGCTATCCTCGTGTGTTTCCCTCAATATCCGTCATCTACGAAGCCAGTGCTCCATTATCCACACCCGTCGTCCTGCTCCTCGATGCTAATGGCCTGCGTCTCCGCTTCGATGGCCAGGACCAACGTCTCCGACTCATCGAGGTCCTAGACTTCCAAAAGTCCCGACTGACCTACAACGGTGGGGAGCTCGCAAAGGCTGGCACTGGTACTGGTGGCCCAGCCTTCCGGAACATTTACAATAAGCTGTTTGGCCCTACTTATCCGGGGGAGTATATGGAAGACCAGGGGGTGTATGTGTTGTCGTATCCGGGCGTTGCGTTCTCGTTTCCTGTGGAGAAGCAGGATAAAAAGCCGGATGACTTTGTGTCATTACTCATGGGGTCAAACGCACATACTGCAAGCAGTATGGCTATATATAACGGCTCCTCATGGTCCGATGCCCGGGATGGTCTATTTACAAAGCCGGTAACGACCCCAAGATCCCCAGGAATAAACAGTGCAAGCGCTCGACTCTCATCTGCCAACGATGAGGTTGAGCTAGTGCGTCTCCATGATGACAATAAAGTCGAGCTTGTCCGAAGACACAACAAACCATTCTGTATAACCCTTCACTTGACAACACCGCAAGAGCTTGTTGCAGAGCTGGGCCCCCCAAGTGCGATCTACCGCAAGAATGATCACCGCCTATCCATCCATAGAACACACTCGATGTCCGGTCGAGGTATTCAGGATGATACGGATGACACTGAGCCCGAGGACCCCCCGTCCGACGACGACAAAGATGTGTCTGATGTCTCTGCAACAAGCAACAGTGATTACTTTTATAATTATTTCCAACACGGTATCGACATTTTCATCTCGTCCGCCCGCTCTTCATATCACCCGGTGGCCACGAAGATCATCCTTCATGGCAACGTCCCTGGCTCTTTTGAATTCCAAAGATACCGTCGGAGTAGATGGGTTATCGAGCTAGCGGACACGGGTAAAAAGAGCGAGTTGAAACTGCACAGCGAGATGTCATTTGACGAGGCACTGCCGAAACTGCGGGAAAGGTTCGGAGAGGGTCAACGGCCAATGCTACTAAATCGAGGAAGTGATTCTCCAAGCAGCAGCTGTGAGTTGCTGGGCGGATGGGAGGATGGTGACAATGGCGAAAAGACAACCACCCTGGCTGGAAAAAGCGCACCGGAGGCTACTTTTGGAAACACTGAGTTATTTGGCTTCCCAGGATTTATTTTTGAGGTTCTGAAGAACCGGGCGGTATCGTCGTTGACTGTATTTTGATTTTCAGTCTATTAACTGTAGTTTATTGGCGCACGGTGGTTTTCTTTTTCCTTTCCTTTTGTTTTCCTATTTTACATTCGTAGATGAGCTGAGGACATTTTCTGATATTTTTTGTTTACAATAAGACTATATCTGTAGGTTCGACATGACATGATGGAGCGCATATACCTCTAGATAATAATGGATAGTTTATATCTTGTCATTCCAAAGCATCCCCAACTCAACACCTTGTGAAGCAGAGCGGAACCGTTTCTTGTTATTCATCAGTTACTCCCTGAAATACACTTACATACATGATATAGAACAGCTCTGGAGAGATAGCTCACCAACAAGCATACACAACTCCAACTCCAACAACCAACTCCCCCTCTATTCCTCATCATCAGCATCACTCCCACAAGGCGCATCTGCCCCACCGCACTCAGACTCAGCAGCAGCGACACTACACGCCACACCCGCACCTCCTCTTAGCAGCCTCCTTCACATCCCTCCGCGCAACCATCTCCTTCAACTTCTTGGCCCGTTTCCTCTCCTCCCGCGCCTCCGCGCGCTCCCGCTCCTGCTCCAACTCCGCCGCGTCCCGCACCTCGCGACGCACCTTGCGGAACCGCTTCTCCCGCCGCTGCGCCGCCGTGTGCTTGCCGCTGTCCGTGGCCGGCGAGTTGTCGGAGCCGTAATATTTATCCTCGTCCTCTGTGTCCGAGTCTGAGCCAGAGCCAGAGCTCTTCTCCTTCTCAGTCTTCTTCACGTCCTTAAGCTTTTGCTTCCCGCCCCTTCCCTCGTTGCTACCCTCATTATCCTGTTTCTGCTCCTGCTCCTGCTCCCACCTCTGCTCCCGCTCCTGCTCCTGCTCCCGCTTCTTCTCCCGCTTCCATAACCGCACCAGCGGTCAGCCCGCCAGCCAACGCGCCCCCGCCGCCGCCGTCGCAACAGTGGCCGCCCCACCACCCGCCACCACACCCGAGGCCGCTGTCGCCGCTGTCGCCGCTGTCTCGAGTGCCGCAGCGCCATACCCGCCCACGACCACGCTCTGGCAGAGCGCAAACAGGCTTCCGGCACCGACGGAGCCAACTGATGCAATGCTGCTGCCCACGACGCCCGCGGCGAGGAGCGCGGGGACAGCGAGGAATGGGGCGGCGAGGAGCGGGGCGGCGGCGGCGGTGGTCGCGAGGAGGGCGGTGCGCGCGCGGGGGTTGTCGGTGAGGTAGGTGCTCACGTCGTCTAAGGAAGGGGGGGGGGTTAGCTGGGTGGGTTACGGGGGTGATTGGAGGGGTTTTTTGGAGGGGGGGAGGTGCGGACCTACGACACCCATTTTGATAGATGCGGTGTTAGTTGTAGGAGTAGAGTAGGTTTGGTAGGTACCGTATGGTAAGTAGGTATGCTTTTTGTAGAGCTTTGTAAAAGCTATCCCTAGATTTTTAGGTGGAATTACCTACGATTATCATCTAGGAATAGGTGCTATCTACCCTCAGCAGGCAGGCTCGCATGTGTAAGCGCATAATTCAGGCATCTCATCATTTGGTACTACAGATACCTGTATTCGCTTGGGGGCTTTCCTTGTTTTATTTCTTTATCTTTTTTTAGAGATGAGCTCGAGGGTATCATGTTTTGAGATACTCTACTAACTCGACGGCTCTCTATCAAGATCGAGCTACTTCCTATCTGCTACCCTCAATATTAGTGTCAGTAGTAGCAGTAGAGACCAATAACAAAACACAACACCCACTGCCAATCTACCAATATGCCAGTCTACGGAGTACCGGGTGCTCTGCGGTCTACAATTACAGACATATTGTACACACTGCGCATAACCAGCAGCCAGTCCAGTTCCAGGCCACGGCTTGGCGGTGAATCATTTCTCCCACGCGGCTCCCCCCGTTTCGGTACTTTACAGTGATCAGAATCTGATAAGTGAATGTTGCGGTGAATACATGTATTTGTCTCATCACTTTTCGCTACACCCTAGTACACGGCGACGACGCGCTCCTTTCATGTTTCGCTGTTTATAGTTAACATTTCTGTCTTTTTTTTGCTACATATATTCTTCTTCTGCTAGCCATGGCTTCCAACAGCAACCCAGACCCGAACAGCACCGAAGAGGCCCATAAATCACTGCGACACTCGCTGCTGGGCCCGTCGCTGCTCAAGGCCGGGCAGGACCGCGTGAACCAGCAGAAGGTTGGCGAGATCATCTACAACGCCTCGAAGGGGTCAAAGTTCTTTAAGCATGAGGAGCGGAGGGACGAGCAAGTATGTTACTTTTTTTTTGTAGCCAGAAAACAGAACAGAATAGAACTGTAGTAACAATAAAAAACTCTGATCCGACCCGCACAGCTTACAAAACGCATCGAAGGCATCTTGAAGCGCAAGAAGGAGCTGGAGGCGCTCGATCTGTCGGTTTATGTGAAGAAAGTAGACGAACAGGTAGCTACACCAACTACACCACACCACACCACACCCCACTACACACATGCATAAAACCCTGACTTGTTATTATTATTCCTACAAAAAATAGATCGCAGCCCTCGAAGCCAGCCGGGACCTCTCACAGACAATCGTGCACGTCGACTGCGACGCCTTCTACGCCTCCGTCGAGGAGCTCGACCGCCCGGAGCTCAAAGAGGTGCCGATGGCCGTGGGCGGCGGCGTGCTGACGACGTGTAACTACAAGGCGAGGGAGTTTGGGGTGCGCAGTGGCATGGCGGGGTATATTGCGAAGCGTGAGTATATCACACTCCTGGTGCCTCTTGCATGTGGGGCTACGGACTGGATAAGTGGTGGCTGATTTGGGTGGGTGTAGAGCTGTGTCCGCACTTGATCTTCCTGCCGCTGAATTTCGAAAAGTACGGGCAGAAGGCGGAGGAGGTGCGGGAGGTGCTGGCGAAATATGACCCGCGATATGAGGCCGGGAGCTGTGACGAGGCGTTTCTGAATATCACAAAGGTAAGGTCAGTGTGGCAGTAGCTAGTGGACTTGGATCCGGATATTGGGATGGCAAGAAATATCTGGAGATATGGAATTGGATATCAGGGGGCTTGATAACTGAGTATTCATCCAGTACTTGGAAGAGCACCCAGAGATGACTCCAGACACAGCGACAGAGCAGATACGCGCAGAGGTGTTTGCACACGCAAAAATCACCGTCTCTGCTGGAATTGCGCCAAACGCTAGGGTAAAGAAAATCTTCATTCCTATCATTACCCCCCGATTAATATCTAAAACACCGTGAATATAGTTAGCCAAAATCGCCTCCAACCAGAACAAACCCAACGGCCAATTCGTAAGTCCTCCATCCCCTCCATCTCCAGAAACCTCTTCCTTACCGCCATTCCGGTGATTGCCAGCGAATCCAACCCACCGTCGATGCAGTCCGCACCTTCATGTCCACCCTCCCTGTGCGCAAAGTCAACGGCGTCGGCCGCGTCTTCGAGCGCGAGCTGCAAGCCATCGGCATAAACACCTGGGGCGACGTGCACCCCCTCCGGCACCTCCTCCAACCCCTCTTCAGCGAAAAGCTCGCCTCCTTCCTCCTCAACTGCCACCTCGGCCTCGGCCGCACGCACGTCCACCCCGTCGACGAGTACGAGCGCAAGAGCATCGGCACCGAGTCCACCTTCTCAGACCTCCGCGGGCCCGACCCGCTCCGCGCAAAGCTCCGCAGCACCGCAGTCGAGCTGGAGAAAGACCTCGCAAACGCGGAGCTGAAGGGACGGACGGTGAACCTGAAGGTGAAGCTGCACACGTATGAGGTGTACACGAGGCAGAAGGCACTGGGCAGGGCGATATGTACAGCGGAGGAGTTGTATAATGCGGCGCTGCCGCTGCTGGCGGGGTTGGAGGTGGAGTTTCGGCCGTTGAGGCTGCGCTTGATGGGGTTGAGGATGACGCAGCTGGTGGATGCGAATCGGGGCCCGGGAAGGCTGGAGGAGCTGTTTAAGAACGCGGGGACAGCGGGGGCGGGGAAGAGGAAGCGCGAGAGGGACGATGAGGGGTGGGAGGTGTGGCCGGAGGAGGAGTTTACGCAGATGAAGGCCGCCTCGGGCGAGCAGGAGGAGGATATCCTACTACTATCGCAGCACGAAGTCGTAGATAGCGACGAGGAGGAGGGCGAAGAGACTTCCGCCGCCGCCGCCGCCGCCGAGGTAGCGGTGAACTCCAAGAACGCGAACGCCCCAGAGCAGGCGCCCGAGGAGGAGAGGTGGCCGTGTCCAATCTGCACGCGCATGCTCCCGGCAGAGGATGCGCTGTTTAACGAGCATGTGGACTTTTGCCTCTCGCGGGAGACGATCAAGGAGGCGGTGAAGGGGTCGTCGGGGCCGCCGGACCCGCCGGAGAAGGTGCAGCAGCACCAGCAGCAGGAGAAGAGGCCGAGGTTGGGGGAGAGGAAGAGGAGGGGTAATGGCGGGAGAGGAGGAGGGAGGGGCGCGGGTGGGGATGAGGCGGGGGAGGGGCTGATTAGACAGTATTTTGTAAAGCCGGCGTAGATAGATGGATTGTAGACTGTAGACTATAGAGTGGTGTGGTGTTTTTTTTCTATTTTTCTTTTCTGCTTTTTTCTACTTGGATGTGTTTCATGTCCTTCTGCTTTGGTTTTTTCTTTTCCTTTTTTATACCTGGGAATTAGTGTAGATTTGAAGCTGAGATGGGATTAATCGATTGTGACCTGATAGAGATAAGTTGGTGTGTACTTGTAGTTATCGATGAAAACTAGAATTGTAGAAAGATTTATCATATCCCTCTGATGCCGTGATATCTCTAACATGTACATACAAGTACATAAATGTACCTTTTACCACATGTTGCCGCGGTCTAACGGACTCATTGTCACTTTTGTGTTGGTCCGTTGAAAATTCCATCACCGATTATCACTCGTGGCATCTGGCCGAACGCTTATAAGCCACCCCACCGACCCCTACTGTGTGCACACTAAAAGAAGATTGGGGTACATGTTAGATAGGTGCTGCTACATCTGCCGGCCGTTTGTTGATGCTTAGACAAGAGGTAATCTGCAGAGTGGAAATTTAGCCTTCGCAGCTGTGCGTGACTCTACATAGAATATTATAGAACTAAGCCCAATAGCAGAAGGGTGGTCTATGTCTTTAGTGGCTACTACTTATAGGCATCAGGGACGACTCATAGAGTTGCTTTCCCGCCTTCCTTGGATAATATACCAACTTTTAAAACCTCAGCACACTACTCGCTGACGTCGCCAGTATGAGCCACTGACCTACTATCCAAGTTCCAAAAGATATTCTTCACATAAAAAGGCCGATTTACAAACTCCCATAACGCCAATATAATCTCGGCAACATCAGCCCTGTAAAAAAATAAAAACGAAAAAGTAAGGTAGAGGGACAACAAAGGGCAAAACCCACTCAAGTACTCCCCCCGCTCCTATTCTGCCCAATCAGCCCCGCCATCTCTAGTAGCGCCTACACACACCCGTTAGTACAACTCCTCACAAAAGTCCTAATTCCGGAAGATAGTAAACTCACCCTATCCGCCTCAATATCCTTCCCCAAATTGACCTGGCGTCTCAACAGTGCCTCCCGCTCCTCCCACGCCCACGCCTTCCTCTGCGCCTCCGCCTCACTATCCCCGCCGCACCCCCACACCTCAATCTCCTCAATCTCAAACAGGTCCTGCCACTCCTGCTCGTCCCTGGTATCGTTAGTGTGGAACGCGCCGCCGTGCCCAATGTGCTGGAACACGCCAAACTCGAGCGCCGGGTCGAAGGTCAGCGAGACGGGGCCGAGGTTGAGGTAGGGCCCGCGCTGGCTAGACTTCATCTTCTGCACAGGAGAACCAAAGCCAATGCCGTCGTCTTTGTTGAAGTAAGCGTAGTCGGTGGAGGCCGTGGAGGCGTGGAAAGTGCGGTGCGTGGGCGCGAGCTGGAAGAGGATGCTCTGGGAGTCGCCGAAACAGTCTGGAATACCAATCTATTGGTTAGCCGTCTCAAAACAGTGTGGGTTTGTATATATATATGGTTGGCAAACCTCGGTGCGACACTCGCCACGGGCGGTGCATGTACACGCCGTAAACAACCCTCTCATCCACCTCCCCGCCCGCGGCATACTTCCGCGGCGGCAGCGTATCGGAGAACATCTTCTGCTGGTGTGTTTCCGGGGTTCTAGAGATGCGAGTGCCGGATACTAGTAGTATGGTTGGAGCGGTCCATTTTACGACTTTGGTCTCGAACGAGCCCATGCTGAAGCCTGCCTCTGAGCCGGCATAGAGAGGCCGCAGCCGCCTCCAGAGATTGTCGCCCTTGATGAAGAGGGAAAGCTGGCTGAGGAGGTTCATGTCTAGGATCTTGCCCGTGTGGGGGAGGAGTGGTTCGACTTCAGCTACTGCTGTGGAGTTGTCGACCTTTTTGCAGAAGAGGAGGTGCTCGAAGAGGGGGCAGAGGCCGTCGAATAGGAAAGGCTTTGAAAGAGAGTGGTTAGCTAGGACTCAGGTTATGAGAGGATAGTCCTTACCATTGATTCCTTTATAGTCTTTTTGAAATCTCTATATAAAATCCCCTTCCCATCTCTACTCTTAAAAGATCTAACGACACACTCCGCAGTATCCCTCAATTCCTGCAGAGCCTCTGGTGTAGAAAACCTCTCTGCAAATACTGCAATCGGCTGGTTTGGCTCCAGCGGCGCGGCCACCAACAGGAACGCCACGAAATTTCTCAAATTCTCCAACGGTATGCGCGAATGGCTAATATTCGACTTCTCCGCCTGCCCAAACACCTCAATCGCATCCAGCGCATCTAGCGCCGCCAGCGACAAATCATCGTCATCATCATCCTCATAGTACTCAAACTCCATTTCCCCGACCTGCTGCTGCTCCTTCCCCCCCTCACCCTCGCTCTCCTGGCGGTCATACACCGCCAGCGACCGGAACAGCAACTTCACCGGGTCCGGATGGCGCTTCAGCACCTTCTTGTACCTGCCCGTGAAGATAGTCACGACCTTCACCAGCGCCTCGAAATTCAGGATTGCTGGCGACAAGCTCGGGAACGGAAACGCACCCAGGTACGACGTTGACTGGAAGATGATTGAGCCGACCTGCAGGCAGTCTGGGATAGACAGGAAGCGGATCAGCGTGTCCTCGTTCCAGTACAGGAACCTGCCCTCGGAGTTTGTGCTGTCGGCGAGGCTGCGGAAGTTGTCCTTGAACGAGTAGAGCTCGACGCCGCTGAAGCATTTCTGCGCGAACTTCTCGGCGAGCTGGAGAGAGAGCTCCTCTAAGCTCCCCGCGTTAGCTAGCTAGCTACATTGTAGGTTGTAGGGGTTATGCATGTGTGTGTGTGTGTATGGAAAATAGCGGACAAACCTGCAGTAGCTTTGTGGACTTCGCCGGATTGACCCTGTCCCATGGCGGATGTATTTCGTCTTTTTCAGGCTGTAGAGGAGCGAGGAAAATACGGGAGAGCTAGAGAGATGACTGTTGTTTGCTTGAGACCTTTGGACCAGTGGTGTGATATGAGGTCACTTTTGAGGCTCTGGCAACGGGTAGGCAGCCCTAACCCTTGATGGGACAGGGAGCTATGAATACACTAGAATTAATGATCAGCTGAATGTAACGTCCGATATACCCCACTGGTCTGCTATTTTAGAAGGTACCTACAATATACAATGCAATATGTACTCTCTTGCAGTGCTCGGGTGCCTTCGGTAGCGAATATGGCTCTGTGGGTTGACTTGTGGGCGAATCAAACGAGGCAGAGTATGTAGCATTTCGCCCGGCGAGAGAAATGATCTCGGGTTCAACTTTTGGAGGGGATCTTAACAAAGCATAACCGGGGTTTCCGGTCCCAAAAAGCAAGGGGCGGTAACCAATCAAGTGGTTCCGCCCTTTTTGCTGTCCCCATATTATCCGCAGTTGAATAATCATTGTCCAGTATGTACATGTGTGTTGAGGGCACCACCATTTTACCCCAGGATCACCCAAGCTAGATTGGCTGTCAACAAGACTTCAGAAATCTAAGCACTCATGTTATCTTTGGGGAACTACCTATATTGCACCGGCTTATTTGTTGTTCATAAGTTTTGACTCGATGGATGTGCAGATAACCTTATCTTGCATCTATCCACTAGCAGGCTCGCTTTGTCAGATCTCCGGTCTGTGCTGCCTGCTCCCGTGATGGAGTAGAGATGGAGGATGAGATAACAAGGACTTAATTTGTTCTGGTCGATTGATGAGGATGAACTTCTGCAGATAAGTAGAGTATGCTTGCTAGAGTAGAGTATCCGGAGTAGCCACCTTTATTTATGCTAGTGCATATTCACTAGGCTACATTTCTCATTGGATCGCTGCTGCTGGTCACGCGGCGAACTGTTTTCTGTCAAAGATCGATTCCACACTTTATCACCAGCCTCCGCGGCCAGAGGCAACATCTCAACTCCAGTAGGTGTCAAAGTCGAGTTTTGAGCATAACTGTAACCGTGACAGCTTCACCCAGAGTCTCGGTTCCTGCGAGCAGAAAGAAAAAAAGAAAAGAGCTCTCTGTAGCTCCTATCACAGCGAAATCTGAGCTCACACCCGAGTGACGACTCATGAACGCGGCAACAGAACAGAAGGCACGCTAGCACTGGACAACGTGCAACACCAAAAACCCTTGCATGAAGAATTACGGAAGATGTTCCATCCATCCGCGCCGAATGTCTCATTTCCATGCTTCTTTTTTAGAGTAGACCCTTGAAAATGTAGAATCGATCTGGGGCGGGCGCTGCAGGTATGTATTGGCACGAGGGGTACTCTATGTAGCTAGGTACGTACCTACTCTTCCAGCGAATGTGGGGGCTTGTAGGTACTACATACATTGAGGATCACGTATCACGTATCATGCATGGGGATGAATGATGAGCACCCAGATGCTCTTCCATCTGTGGGCTATGGGGTTGGTTCGTCGGTTGTCTCGTTCGCGCGAGAAACGTGTGTACCTGCTACCTAATGAATTGCAAAAGACGGGGAAAGGGCAACAACATAGGTACTGTATTTAACTTCAGCCTTATTTCTATTTAATTTTGATAATTAAAAAGTACACAGCATTGATTTTTTTTCTTTTCAATCCAAGCCCAGTCGACGTACGTCGCGACCAATATGCTGATAATAATGAGGGGTTGGTTACCTCTCCAGCTAAGCTACCCCGCCGCGGTTGAGCGGGGGAATTTAAATCACCCCCCCATTTCTCCCCACCAAGAAAAGTTCCAGCGGAAATCTCGGTTTCGGGAAATTATTATATTCTGGACCACTCTTCGGCATATTTATGTTAATGGGTCGAGCCCGCCGCTCAGAGACATGGCGATTGCGGCACTAGCTATATGTATGTAGCTTCGCCCTTTCTCTTCTACTCTAGGTACTGTGCAGCATGTGCGCGCGTATTTTTGGAACTGGTGCTACGAGTGATATAATATGATCCTCGTGAGCTTCCCGGACATCTCGGCTCAACCAACGTCATATTGTTTTGGGTGGTACGTTTCCGCTCATG